CATCAATATATCGGTTGATCATATCTGCCGATATCAGCCCTGTTGACTAACATGAGCTCATTTGAAAATAGTGTGGCAGGCAGTGATATCAGAAGAGGATGTGTATCATCAGTTTAATGCTGACAAGCTTGTACACTTAACTGCAGATAAATGGTAAAGAAAGTCACCTGCTGGACAAAATCTTGTTTTTATGGTCAGACTAAAAGAAAATGTTGGCTTATGGTCTCTGAAAGACATCAACGATATGCAGTTTGAAAAACATTTTCCAGTGATATTTCCAGAGGTGGGACTGAAGCCACAATTTGAATACATCAAATCTCTTTGCTCAATTGAAAAGCAGATGTGAAAAATAACAAAGCAGTCATGACAAAATATTTTTACTGGAAACAAAAATATTTTTTTAAGGGTTATCTAAAGTCTGATTCCTTTTTTAAGGCTATAGAGTAATTGAGTCAATGACTTTGAGTTCATGAAGATCTGAAGGGATGAGGGACTATTTTTAAAAACTAATCAAGTCCTGCTGCTTAGCACATTCCCAGCCTGATTGTATGAAACAAATTTAACCACAAGTTGAGTCCGTCTATGTGACACTTTCTTGAACACAAACCAGACAAGTCACTTGAAGGCAAAGCTCTGTCAGACAAATGTCCCTTTTCTAGCCCAAAATTGCACAGATTCTCTCACATGATGGCCCTTTCAAGATTGCTCAGCTCATACTGCAGTTAATTAAACGTCTTGCCCTGCTGTGTTTTGTGAATACATGTGTTGGAGATTAATGAGATCAATTTCAGATTTGTGTAGGAGAGGGAATCAATGTCCCCAAAAGTCAGACTGACAGGCAGATTAAGAACATCAGCCATCAGCCTAGCAGAGGAAGAAAAAACAGTCTTTCATCAGCGTTAGTCGTCTCTCTCCGTCTATCTTTCACTTTTTGTCATCTCTCACTACCATGTCATTTACTCTTTATTCAGTGTAATGCAATCGGATGCACTTCATTGAAGTCAGAGGTACATAAACCATCCTGGAGGAGAACTTAAATGAAATTGGAATTCATTACAAACTAAATCAAATCAGTAAACATATCTTTCATGTGTTCTCCAGGGAGGTCTGCAGTGCCCACATTACACATGCAGGCTAAAATAAACATCATGATAATCAGCTTGAATCCCTGCTCTCATTCCAAATTCTAATCTACATAGCACATGGTTTGCTTAAGTGACTGTAAATCAATGTAAACAGATTAATCAGTGCTACAGTGTTATGGCAACAAATACTGTGATGCATATTATCAAGAGATGAATGTCACAACTTAGCCTCATTAGTTGATTTTCTGTTTATTTTATTATTGGCTCATTCCCATTTTGGGAGTCTTGTAGTAAAGTTTTTCAATAGGCTCTCCTTAGTGTTTCCTTGATAAAATGACATGCTGTTGAAAAACTTGTTTCCTGGTTTGTTTTTCCCCTCTCTGTATTTTGACTGTGGTGTTTTTGCTTCTATTCCTGGTCACATACAAAGAAATATAACTGCCCATTTCCTTTATAATTTTTGGTGTTTTGTCTTCAGTTTTTCAGACTTGCAGTTTCAGTTTGTTCATTTCAATGTCTCTCTTGTCAGAGATTGTGTGGTAGTGCCAGTATGAGGTTAATCCAACACTGGAGTTCTTGGTTTTTATTTGGTTGGGGAGTTTATTGAAACGGTGAAAGGAAGTATTTTAGTTTTTCATCTGTTCAACCACCAGATCAAAAAATAATTATTTAAAGGATTCAGAGTTCTTAAAGGGGCCTCCAGCAAATGAAATGACAGTTGGTATGAGTCCAGCGTCCACTTTGGTCCAGACTAAAATACCTCAACAAATAGTGGATAAAAAAACTTATGTTATGTTTTCCTCAGGGTGAATTCTAACTTTTATTTTACCTTGACTTAACATGCTTGAGTGATCTAAGCAGGACACTGGCCACCTGAAGGCATAACCATTGATTATGAATTTGCTTCTGAATTCTGTTGTTTTTTTAACACTGTTATTACTTAAGCTTGGCACTTTTCACAGCAGCCTCTGCTATCAGCGTGTGAATGTGTACAAAAGTGGGAATTCTGTCTCGCTGTTTAAGATCGCTTTAAGTGGTCATATGATTTCAAAAATGTATAATACATGGAGTTTGTTCACCAGTTTGAATTGTCTAACAATTTCTACAGAATGATTTACATTCCCGTCACACCAGATTGTGATGTGTCTTTAGTGCTAATTATAGAATATTAGCACGCTTAGTAGGCATGTGTACCATGTACATATGGTACACCTAATAGATGCTAAATATTAGCTTGTTAGCATTTTCTTTGTGAAGATATACTATCAAAACTGTTATTTTATAAGTCCTAATTTTGTTGTTCTTGCACTAGAACATTAGAAGTTTGTATCATTGTGATGTTATTATTACTCATCTCTTTATATTGGTTTCCCTATTTCTGTCACACTTTGTTTCAAATTAAAAGGGATGGCTTTGTTGCTGTTGGGAAATTCATTTGAAGGTTTTAAGTCATGATGTAAATGATATACAGTTAAAAAAAAACATGAACAGATTTAACTGAGCAGGTTTGCATTTAGTTCAAAGCCTCTCACAGAGCTGCGTAGCATGTTTGTCTTGTTCCAAACTAAAACAAAAAGAATCTCTTTAGATTACGTTGATTCATATTTAAAAAAGGCTTATCTCTTTCCGCCATGTTCACTGCCAGTAAAAAAGAAGCTTGAGGCATTTGTATTTCTATAAGAAAACATGAAAAGAAAAACATGCTGTGGTGCTTTAAATTCACTGCTGCTGCTGCTGCTGCTCTTTCAGTTGATGTACACATCTGTTTACCTGCATCTTTAATCCCTCCAACCATTTTTTTATAACTCCTAAAATCATATCCCTGTATTAAATGTCCCCTCAACCGTTTTCATTACATTTCTTTGAGCATGTTTTGAATTTGAAAGGGTTGTTTTGACTTTCTCCTCCCATGTGTCTCCCTCAGTCCAAGCTTTAAGAGGCTGTATTAAAACATGCTAATGCTCAAAGACCTCCAAACCCTGCCTCTTCCCCCAGAGAGAAAACCTGGAATACAGAGGTGAAAGAGGCAGAAAAAGTAAAATTGCTTTCTTGTCTGTGTTTTTCAGTGTTATAAAATAACATCCCGTCTTTAATGTTAAAACTGACTGTTTTTGCTCTCTACAGCATGAAGAAAAAAAATGTCCTGAATCTCCATAATCACTTTAGGACCATCTATGATATGATTATATTTTCATTTCTTTATAACTCAGATTATAGCACTTGTTTCTCAGTATGAATTGTTTTCTCTTTAAATCTAAAGACATTAAATTATCAGAAAGAATAGAACATTCATATCATAACAGACCTTTTCTAAATCTGAATTGAATGAATCATCGCTCATCATCCTGCATTCGTCATCTGGTCTATTTGTACTTGTGGCTTCTTCACTCGATTTCATGCAGTGCAGAAAGTTTCTCCGAGCAGTCAACACTCCTTTCAGCTGTCTCATCAAACTTCTCTTGGCATTTTCCATCACACCGCGGCCAAACCTCCCCTCCACGCTCAATAACCACAAATTGGAACCCATGCTAAGTAAAGCTCTGATTCTAAAATAGAAGGAAAACACATAGATCGTATTGGGTACGTATATAATAGATATATGCAACAGGCCTGCTTTTTCATCCCATGAAAGATATTTTTATCCAATTCTTTTCCCCAAACACGAGCAGTTCATTTTTCAGGAAACTTTCAGTGTCCTTTTTTCTTCTTATCAAGTCAGCCTTTCAACCAGCAAGATTTGCAGTCATATACTACTGATTTAGTTAGAAAGACAGATGTACTGGACTTTGTTATCCCAACTCTATAGGCAGATAAGATCCACACTGGTATTGCACGGTGCTTTATGTGAATTAAATAGATCACTATTGAGAATAACTTTGAACCTTCTTTCCAAATCTTTGATCTTTGTTATATGTACACATTGATGCACAGAAATAGAGTAAGAGTGTATACCATACTGGTACAATTTTCATACTGTATAAATAAACCTTAACTTTACAGTTTAAATATCTGTATTCTTACTTTAAAAAGGCCATCTAATGGATCTAATGGATTTCTAAAGGAAGGCCATGAATCTAAAAAGTAAATCCTCAATTTTAGTTTATTTTAAAACACAAACAAAGCTTATAGGTAAAAGCAACACAACATTTGCATAGAATATAAATCAAGATCCTATGTGTTTTCTGTTATTTACACATGACCTTTTCCCCTATCAAACCTCAGGACATTCAGCATATGAAGGCATTACAAACAGTCTGTAATCACCATGCTTCTGTAAGAAATTGTGCATTTGAAAATAAACGCATTGTTTACTCTGGTAGAGACGAAAGGTCAGTGTACCGTGCTGCTCTTTAAAGCATGAGCAGTCAGAGGGATTTAAGGACAACAAAGCTAAAGCATGATGAGATGAGGATCATGTGGAAGAAGGTTAAAGAGCAAAACTGTACTGGTAAGAAAATTAATAAAGACTCAGGCCTCCAAACCTCCCGGAAATGATTTTCTATTTATATTGACAATTTGAAGAATCAGAGCAAGAACAAAACCACACAATTACACACACTGGTGCTTCATTAAAAGGCCAGAGACATTTGTCAAGATAAACTATGGACTTGTAAAGCCGGAAAAGGCCACACAAAGCCTCTCATCTTTTATCCGCTGCTATAATTGAAATGGTTTAAGCTTTACTGAGTTCATCATTCACTGTGGGAAACATCTATTGATGCTAAACTTGGTCTTTATTCTTGGGTGTTTAATGATGTGCGGTTTTGGCGGCCTCAAATGAAAACGGATGACATTTCTGTTCTGTCTCTGTGTGCATCCATAGAGCCGTTAAAAATAGAGAATCTCAACCAGATGAAAGAGGAGTGGAAGAAAACTCTGATGTGTTTTCTCAAATGTGATCCTCCCATACTGCAGGTGCCCTCTCCCAGAACCAGGTCCACCCTCTCCTGGGCTCACTGCCTCTGCCGGGTCGACCCCTCCAGCCGCAGACTCGCGCCCAGCTAGAGCATTTCCTACCGCTCAGGGTGAACAGCTCCTCGCCGCTCAGCATCTTCCCAAATTTCAACATGGTAAGAAGCTGTGTAACTTTTCTCGTATACACACGAGGATGTATTGGGCAATAAAAAGGATACAGGATCACTTGTTTTTAGGAAAATACGGGCCGAAATTTTCAATAATTTTGATCCTGTGCTCAACCTTAAACTTAATATTCAACTTAATGCTCACACTCGAGTGTATTTGTTTTAGTCCAGTTAGACGTAATTTTATGCATCGCATGCTGCGTGTAATGGCTTCAAATCAATTCATTCCAAAGGAAAAAAAAATAACAGACCAATCTACTGTCTTTTCAGCGATGTTACAATGCATTACATGGTTGATGAAAAATGATCTGGGTTTTTTTTTAATTATAAAATCCCAAAAGACAATAATGGGTTGGTAAAAGCAAGAAGAATATTAAAACAAAAAGATTTTTAAAAACGTACTAGTTGTAAAAACAAAAATTGTACTGGAAACCATTGTATCGATGTGTATCTATCTGTTGTTATGTGGTATTGTATAAATGAAGCCCTTCATGCAATCTGATCAACAACATATAATTAAAAATGAGAAATCCTTTTTGTTTACACACCAAAAGGCCTCCATTGTTTGCACTGATTGAATTGATGCAGCTACGAGAAAACACCAACAGGTTTATATATCGACAAAGACTGAATGAATGTGTTCTTTGCATGTAGTTTTAATTGAAATATTGAAGAAACCCATTGATTGCTTGTGTTCTCTGCAAATAGCAAATATCAACTAGGGATGAGGCCCGCAGGAATTTTTCAGAGGTTAATCATGCGGGAATTCTATCCTTGTTTAGCAGGAAATGTCAATACTGTATCAAGACTCCATCAGCAGGCTCTATAGGGTTTTATTTAGTAATTAAAAATATTTGAGAGATCCCTGATGTAACATATCTCTTCTAATAAAAAGACAATCGCATTGGTCTGGCACTGAACAAAGAAGCATCAGACTGTCATTGTCTACATTTAGCTTTAACCCTTAATGAGACAAGTCAGAGGAACGTGTTAAATGTGTCAGGCATGAAGGCTGGAAGAGATTCCTGTCTGACACTTGGTGCTAAAAATAAGCGTCCACTCACACAGCTGCACTGTAGACATTCAAAGTCTGAACAGAAAAAGGAAACACAGGATTTATAAAGTGACATTTGAGGTATTTTCTTTTCAGAGAGCTTACAATGCTTGACTAATTTCTTCAGAATGTTAAAGAAAACAAATGTAATTCCTAAAAACCTTTTTATTTTACTTAAGTGGTCTCTGAAATGCCAGATTTTTTGTTGTTTTTGACATACACCATCTAAATGTCAACCACAAACCTCCCTTTACCACCTCCTCATCATCATCGTTGTTGTCGTGATTTTTGGCAGATATTCTTTTGAATACAGGATACATATGCATATCATTTCTTATGTTTTTATAAATAAAACAAAACACATGGAAACAGGTCTACATCAGTACTTTTGGCATTGTTATGGCATTTGTGTCAGTGTAGGATATACTTACTATAAAATAATTATTTTGCCCTCCGCTCTGAAACCAAAAGTCTTTGTCCACATCGCCCTGATCATATTCTTCTCCACGTTTTAGATGGACCCAGTTCAGAAGGCAGTGATCAACCACACCTTTGGCATGGCTCCACCCAAAAAGAAACCGATCATCTCCTGTAACATCTGCCACCTGCGCTTCAACTCCACTGTAAGTCACACACTCATTCTTCTCAATCTATTCTTTGATATAGATGAAAAAAAAAGAAGTTGAGGTTTCTTACCTTGAGATCTTTTTTGTGCTTAGTGGTAAACTGGACGAAGAAAAGCTCTTCAGAAGGCTTCAGGAAGGTGGGGGAAAAAACCCACTCAGCTGTTTTCTGGCGGGTGTAGTCATTAGTTAAATCCCATCCCATAAGGGACTCTGACCCTGTTGAAGTTTGCTGAGCACAGCTTTTTTTTTAACAGCGTTTAAACTTTAAAACTAAAAAAGTCTCATCTATTGATTATGTTTTGCATTACATTTTCCACATATTTACAACATATCTGATAGGTTATGCATCCTGAAGCAGGCCTTTATTCAATCCACACTGTATCTGTCTTCGGCCTACTTTTTTATTAACCAACCTGTTTTTAAAAGGAGACCAGTCAGCTGGTTCTATTGCTTCAACTCCTTATCACGCCTCCCTCTTCATATGCAATATGCTCCCACTATAGAGCTGGTTTATACATATTTGCATTTAAATTGTTTGGAGGAACCTGGCTGAATGACAATGACTCTTCTTTGTGTGAATTGTGAAAGTTGAAGGGAGCAGGAGACCGGTGAAGGCCAATGTACTTTTCCTTACTTCCTCATCTGTCCCTGTCTTTTTTCCTCCGCTTTCTGCTCTGTACTTTTAGACATAGAGTGATGTTGTTGTCAAGAGTTTGTGTTCTAGCTAACAGGCTTTCTCCTCCTCCTTCACCTCCTCCTCCTCCTCCTCCACCTCCTCCTCTCTGTGTTACCACAGCCAAGCTGAGAGTGCAGGTTGACGCATGGGAGTTGGATGCCAAGTTTCAGGCAGGTACCAGGTCCCAACAGGGGTGCTGCACTGAGCAGCTGGAATTTGCATTTGATGAAGAAGATTGGATAAAGGAATAGTTCTGACTCTTCCAAGTTTTTTCATAGTTTTTGTACACTTGTTTTGTATGCAGCAGGTTTCCTTTTTGCAGTCAACCCTTTTTATTCCTTTTGGACATACAGTTTAAACTTTTCCTTCAAAGCAACTATAAACCCATTGTCCTCAATTGAGGCATCAACTTATTTTGTTTTCAACCAATTATTACAAATTGTTTTATTGGATTCAATTGTAGGCTGTCGTTGTGAATATGAGTAGTTAATGAAAACACTTAAAAAAATTTAAATTAATTTTAAGTCAAGTTAATTGTTTTTATACATCCCTATATCACAGAGGTGCCTCAGTATAATAATTTATAGTATGTTCAAAAAACATTGACTATGTAGACAGCTGTTTCCTTTGCTATGATGAAGGTATATGACTGTATGCCATAATCACTTACAATAGATTAATGATCACATTAATCATTTAATGGGAACCAAGCATGTCCGTCCAAAATTACATTACAATTCTTTTCTGTAAAGATGTTTCGGTTTTGGACTAAGCTGCAACTTCCAGAGTTTATCTGGAGCCAATCTAGAATTGCCAAAAACTGCACTTCTTAGACTAGCCAAACTCCAAAAGCGATGAATCCACTGTGTTCAAATAACCATCTTTACAGTGGATTAGTGTCCAATTTCCCGCGAAAATATGTCTAATCATCATCAAAAAACAAGACGGCGACAACCAAAATGACAACTTAATGCTTAAAAAAAAACCTGCCCACTATTCAATTTTTTGTTTCATCCAATTCATTGACAGTCAGTAGTTCATCATTTTAAAACTCATAATCGGATTTAGACTTCATAATTCTTAAGTTATTAACGACATGTTTTTCTTCAACAGTAGAATGCTTTATTGCTCTGAATTCGGACTTCTCAAAGAAAAGGAAAAATTGAAGCTGTTCTGTGAAAACAAAGATGGATGGCTGTGAGAATGAAATCCATACATGTCAAGTGTACATACAAAAGGAAAAGACTTGAAAATTATTCCTTTAAGGCTGCTAAACTCACTGAAAAAGCATGAGAGATTCAAGCCTGAAGGATCACACATGTGCACTAATTTGCTGCCTTTTTGTGGTGGATGAAGACGTGGACATCAGTGATGTGAGAATGCACAAAGCTGTCAGTCATGACGGCCTCCTTCAGAAGTCTTTAACTGAGGATTCTTGTTTTGCCGCCCTGGGACACCTTTTCTAAGTGTTATTCTCTCTTAGAGTCACTATGGTGGAGCATAGTGAACTCATACTACTCTGGTAGTATGCGGATGGGAGCAGATTCATCCCTCTGACTCAGTTGAAAGTCACGCTGAATGGTTTGTGTGCACTGACATTCAACATAGCTAAAGGGCAAGTTCACCCTTTGCACAGCCCTGAATCACACACACACACACACACTTTGACCCACATTGGTACCCTTTCTGTTTGTGTAGCAGCCTTAGCTTCATGCGAAGTGTTGAGACAGGACTTGTCGCCCTCCACTCAATGCATTCTGTGTAAAAAGATCATCAAGTGCACACTGAGTTCAGAGGCTGCGTTTGTACGATGTGTGCCTGGAATTTGTACGGATAATTTGAGCATAGACAAATTATCTAACGGCCTTATGTGGAGACATCTTGTTCCACTGTTCCAAACTCAGACACTATACTGATTTATGGACAGAAGTAGTGCCGTTTCAACAGAAAGACACTTCTGTTAAAACAAAGGTGTGCTTTGAAAGCAAGAGGTTGGTTATATTGTATATCATTTTTTATTGTTAACAAATCTCATGGAGGCAACAAAACTAACAATGCCTTATTTTGTCAAACTTTCTGAAACTGAATATGGCACTGAGCATCAAGTCCATTCTTTATTCTATGAAAATAATGAAACATTTGTCACAAATGTTGGGTGAATTTTAATTTTTCTTAAAGGCTAAATAACTTAACCTAAATTGGGCACTTTCATGTTATCACAAGATTCATGGAATATTTGTAAGGGACTATTTTCTGTAGTGGATTAATACATGTTGGAGCTTGCTAACATTTACAGCTCTAAGACTGTGCCTGTTAGATTGATTTTAAAGTGCAAGTTTTAAATAGTTTCAGAATTGATGCATTGGCCACATAAGACATTGCCTATACAGACAATACTTTTGACTTTATATGGGATTTTTTGATGGTAAGAAAGTTTTATGAATATGACCAGTCCAGACCAATCTTAATGCCTTCTGCTTGTTCTGTACACTTGATGTTATTGATATTTTATTCAAGTTGCTGTGGCTATTTGACCTTTCTCACCTTCAGAGACAAGATTTTGACAGAAGACTCTGAACTGTCACATTCGGAGAAGCACAAGTGTTTATGTAGGAATGAATGGCTAAATTCAATTTAATCATTTTAGCTTCGAGGTCCTAATGTTTTTAATGACTGACACACTACCACTTAATGGAACTGAGACATTGATATGTTACATCTGTGCTTTACTGGATGAAAATATAAAATATCACCTGTGAAAAAGACCTTGCAAGAGGCAGATTTTTTTTTAATCACATTTTTAAACTCTGACTCAAGGCTCAGTCACCAGCAATATTTCTGGTTCTTTCATAGCCCCTCTAAGATCTTAATGAGCAGAGGGAGTTTTTAAATTTGTCACCAAGATGCGACAAATACACCAAAAATGAGTCATATGCCAAACACTATAGCTTTTTAGCATATTGTGTAGACAGATAGTGCTAGTTTGAAGAAAATATATCTCTCAACTCTTTGCAAACTCTTTCCTTCAGCTGGATAGTGTTGAAACATACATGTGAAATATCTGGACTTGATCTGTTGTATGATGATATAAATGTGTAGATTTTCAGATAAATGGGTTTTGGTTCAGCTGTTTTGGGGTCATCTTTTCTTGCTGAGAACAGATCTTCTTCTGTACAGCTAAAATGCAACTATCCACAGATTTCCAAAACCATTTTGGAATATAAAAAAAATCTGTATGCATATGTTGTCCGACAAGTGTGTTTCCTTTGAAAGTGGAAGACTCAAGCTTTGGCATCACTAGGATTACATTTCATAGAGGGCACAAAACCATTCCAGTGCGTGTCAGACACCTTTAACAAGTGGGCTGACTGACGCTACCTATACAACACCAAAACTCAGATTAAGAAACTGACCTTTTACAACCGTTAGCTAATGTATTTGGATTCATAAACCATTAAAGCTATTCCAGAGAGACGTGACTTTTTATGTCAGTTTTGAGCTTGAATCTTGTCAGCAACATATTTAGTGTGACAGTCAGATGTCCTTTTTAACTCAGAGGTAGCACCTACTGCGGATGTTTTGTGTGTGTGGGGAAAATATCAGAATCTTCCGGGCTTGGAAAACAGTCACTGATGGGGATATCTGTGACACTTAAATTGCTCCTGGACTTAATCATGGACTAGCTGGCTGCTGCCTTCTATTGTACTATGAATACTAGCGGTGCTAACATTAGCAGACTCTGTGCTAGTATTATACTCTGCACAAGCTTCACTGCAAAGTCGGTTCTTATTTAAAAAATCCTAAAAAAAATCTCATTTGTTTGGGTTGGCTAATTTCTATGCTACTAAAGTTATTCCCAACACACACAATTCACTTCATTGAAAAAATAGTTGACTCCATAGTACAGCACCAGAAATGTTTTGACCGCTACCAATAGTTACGCCAATCATATGCCTTTGAATATAATTAAGTCACGATGTTGGTGTGCAGACACAGGCTGCGACTCGAAGAACAATGTAAAACAGGAAAAATGTAATAGAGGATCTTCTGTTGTCACTGTTTAGTTTTCATAGATCAAGTGTATGCACAGTCTGTACTAGATTACGGCTAGCGGGGCCACTGGGCACAGAGGTCATTATTTTCTGCTGCAGAATGGGCTATTTAGTGTCAGAACACATCAGGGCAACGATGAGCCAATGAGCTAAAAGGTAAGTCATGCAATACCAAGAGTCCTTGTGAGGCTCATTTATTCATAACCATGACGAAGATGATAATCAAAATAGAGATGTGACTCTTCCTCCGAGTCAAATGTTCAATAGCATGATGACTCCCTGGAAGCATGTGAAGCCAGAGCGATGGAACAGATGGAAACGTTATGGTTTACTGATTTCATGCTGCTACATTTCATCAAGTCAGTGATTCTGTACTGTATACTGACTTTGCTCATGTTTGCATATTTCTGTGTGTTTGTGGGTGTATGTGCGTATGTGTCATGATCAGAACCAAGCAGAGGCCCACTACAAAGGTCACAAACACACTCGCAAGCTGAAGGCCCTGGAGACGCAAAGGAACAGAAAGAAGAACGGATACAGTCCAAGTGAAACAGGAAAAGACAGAGAGCGGGGGGCGATACCCACAGAATCTAATTTGATAGACAAAACAGGTACAAATCTTTCTTTTTTTAAAGGCACCCATCTCTTTCCATCCCCATGTAATTAGTGTTAATTGCAATGACATGAGCACTGGGCTTGCTAGTTGCCACTCAGCTGGTTAATTACCTGCTATTACCTGTCCTGCTATCATTGGCTCTGTCAGATAGATAATTATCCCAATCAAGCTGAGACGTTTTGCAAGATGAGCATCACTTCAAAGACATCTAAAGATGCATGAAGTGCCTTTTATATGCTGTAGTTCCTTGATTTAGATGGAAATGAGTCAGTGGCTCAATATAGAACTACTATTTACAGTTTCTTGACCAAACTATGAGATATGTTACCACTTTGCTGTAGGATTTGTCAAAGTTTGAAGCCAATTTACAAAAAGGACAGTAATACTAGGCAGGCGTATGTTTATGCTTTAATGACAAAAGAAACAAAAACAGCATTTGATTAAGAGTGGAGAGTTTGAGTCGAGAAAAGCCGGGCTCATGTTAGTGTTTACAGTCGTGGAAGAGCAGTATATGTATATAGAATTGTGAGCGAAACCTTGACATTGCAAAATTAGGTTCATATCAGGGATGTAGGGAATTTACATGTGTGTAGTTAACTGACTTAATTGGCTATCATCAAGAGTTCAAGTTTTAAATTATCTGTTCTTAGTCGACATCAAATGTCTTCTTAGGTCGGACCAACAGTTGAAAATTCAGACATTGCCTTAAGGATGCAATATGAAAAGTTGGAACCAGAAAACGTTTTTGTTTAAAACACGACTTCCTCATTTGCATTAGCTTATCAGATTTTTTTTTAGTTCCAATTAGCTTTCTATTTCAGTTTTTTTCCAAATAGCATCACCTTTAAAGTTAAACCATGTGTTAAAAAAAAGAAGTTCAAGAGTTGTTTAGTTGGTAGTTTGTAAGAAGAGATGCAACAAAGTTCATTTCAAGACGATGATGCAGCTAAGAACTTGGTGTGGGTGTTTTGAATGAACGTGTGGAATTTGAAATAAACAGAAAACAGCACCTCATCTATCCCTTTTGTTTACAATGTAATTATGCACTTTTTAGCACAAGAATAGAGATACGCTGTATGCCCTCATTGTCATTCAGTAGATAGATGCTTTTACTAATAATATCTTAAATCGTTTTAGTATCAGCCTGGAAAGCTCACAGTGAAAACGTTCCTTAATGAGTCTGAACTGCAGTTTAGTTTGTTAAATACTGCTTATTAAAGACAAAATACTGACATGGTAAGAGTGCTTACTTGTAGCTACAGGCCTGGACACTTTTTGGATATTCTTATTGTTATAGCTAATGGTTTGTCACAAGTTTGTCTGCACAAATTGGTTTATAAAAGTGCTGTGTCTACTCTTCCGGTTATTTGTCAGCTTTTCATTGTGCCTGACTTAAAATCTTCCTTTCTATACTCTGACTAGCTTTCCCTTTTCCAATTGATCCTCCCCTACAATCTTCTTCCAGCTATCAATATCCCTCTAACCACACAATGATAAGCCTTTTACATTCAGTGGTTACCATGGTTGTTGATTGATGGTGACAGAGGGAGCTTCAACATAAAAAAAAAAGAACAAAGGACACAGAGACAAAGGAAGAAGGATTGAGATGGCAAGAAAAACAAGGGAAAGATGCTAAAATTGAAGATGGATGAGAGAGAACAAAATAAATGTGGATGAGGATAAGAGAGTATAATAACATGTTTTTTGGTATAATTTAACCAAGAAGAAAAGCACAAGTCAAGAAAAATTGATTGTGCTTTAAGTATGTAGTACTCAAGCTTTGTGGTGGTGAAAAATATGTCTACTGTCGATTACTAAAGCTGTGTCTTGCTCCTTTTTGTTTCAGCCTAACTAAACTTTTAGCAGAATATTTTACATTTTTACTTAAAATCAACACTTGACATAAATCTGTGTACAGAGTATTGTGTCATCTAGAACAGCACATACACATACAAAAGATTACAACAGAGAAATACAAAACCACTTGAATCACAATAACAAAAAATTAAAGCAGCTATGATGTGTATATTTATATACTAAGTACACAGTTTTCATGGCTTCATGTATGTCAATGGTGCTGCTTATAGTGAAAATACCACCATAGCAGCACTCCTCAGCCCTATAGCCCTTTTAGCTCCATTCTGCTAATGTTTCAGTTTTACAGGTGTGCAACATTTCTAATCAACTCGTACTACTTGATTGTTTACATTTTATTCCACATCAAGGTGCAGTATCAATGGAAATACTCTACTAAAGCAAAGAGGGACAAGAAAAGGTTTGAATCTGTAGAGAATTTAGCAGCCTAAGCGCAATAAATCTTTCTCTAGGGTTGGTGGACCAAAAACAGAGATATAAGAGAATATAAGAGTGAAGACTGGACATGTATGAATCAGGTGCCTACAAATGTGTCTCAAACAAATGTCAGTTTCTGGTTTATGTCTAAATAAACAAATCATAACAAACAGTTTACTATATCAATTTAAAAAGACTCCCAGCCTCAGCCCTCTCTGATGCATGTCTCTTTTACTCTTTCCTCCGCACATCTTTTGTCTCTCTTCAGCTGTCCTATCAATAAAGGCCAACTAAACAATATTATGAAAAATAAAATTACAACTTCCCCCAATGTTTAAAAAAAAACTTAACATTCAACTTTTCCAACTAGTCAACTCATTCATATTGTTGTTTCCACATCTTGTCAGCTAAACACTTATTAAAAATGTGTGTAAAATCAAAATGTTTATTGACTCATGGCACAACCTCCATATATCTGCATATGTCCACAGGCCCAGTTAATACCCAACTTGCACAGCAGCAACCAGAAAATGCCAAGGAGAGCCCAACAGCATCCATACCTTCCTCACAGCCGTCATCCGCAGACCCCTCCTTGCCTCACTCTCCTCCACCATCCCCGCCAGTCTCCTCTAGTCCTCAATCTCCTGATACACCTTCAGACACTGCTCCCATGGAGGGCTGCAGCCCAGCCACCATTTCAGCATCTCCCTCAGACCCTCTGGGTGGCTCCACAGGAGGTGAGGAGGACGAGGTTGAAGAGGTTAAGCTGGAAGAGGTTAAGCTGGAAGAGGTTAAGCTGGAAGAGGTTAAGGCGGAAGAGGAAATGGAGGCCAAGAGCAACAAAAGACAACATCTCCACTGTCCCACATGCAAAGTGACGGTCAATTCCAGCTCCCAGTTGGAGGCTCACTGTAGTGGTAAATACTACGATACTACTTAGCTTAGTCATTAGACAATTGCTTTTGGATATTTCTTAGATGAATTTGACATGACATTTTAACAACCATTTTGATTTCTAACATCTTTTTTTAACATTTGGCATCCTCTTTATTTAGGCTCTAAACACAAACAGATGCTTGATGGTCATAACAGCAGCCAGTCACATCGCAGGGTTAGGATGACGTCATCGCCCAGGCCCAACTGTCGAATAAAGCAGCGAATGGGCACAAAGACCAGAGCGGTTATGAGTGTATCCAGCCAGCCTTTCCACTGTGAAATGTGCCAGGTGTCTGTCAACTCAGAGACACAGCTGAAGCAGGTATATGGATGTTTCCAGATGTTATAAATACAACTAATTTTACTACTGTATAATGCACCCTGTACTTAAAAAATAAAAAATCTGAAATGACTAAGCTTTTCTATTCTAAAAGTAAAACTACCCATTTTGTAAGCACTCTTGTTGTTTGTCAGACTGAATCACAGCTTTGTACTTCTGGGTCCTTTTTCAGCACATGAGCAGCAGGAGACACAAAGAGCGTTTGGCTGGGAAGCCTGTCAAGGTGAAGTTCCCCCCCTATAACAAACTACAGCCAAGTGCTATCTTAGCGGTAAGAGTTGCTCTCACACAAACACTAACACACACCTATGACTGCTTTTAGTTCTTTCCATATTCCATATGGTCATCAAAGAACATACACAATGCAAAAAAAAAGGTTATGTATGCTCAATAGATAAGAGTGGAAAGCTCTGCATGACACCAGTCAACAATTTACATATCTGGTGGCTTCCAAGTTGTTGATAGGTGGTTGCTGATCAGAGGTAGAGTCAGTTATATGTATAAGTTTTGGTTGGATCCCCTGCTCCTGCAGTCACATGTTGAAGTGTCCTTGGGAGACTGACCCTCAAATTGCTCTCGCTCCTGCGTCAATGGTGAGAATGTGTATGTATGGGATTAATTTAAGTCCCCATGAAATGGATCTTCGAGTTAGATTATCTAACTGTCCTGAGGTATTTCCAACTGAAACTGGTTAGAACCAATCACAAGATAGAAGGTGGAAAAAAACATTGGGATGAATTTGATTGGACTGATCAATCGGTCCAACAATTAAATACCACGAGTACAGGATGATTCATCAGACATTTGAAAAATTTTACATGAAGAGAAAATACTTTTATATCGATGTTAAACATACTTAGATAATGCTTAATTGAAATAAACTCGACCAATAAGTGAAAATATAATTAAGGGTCGCTGTATTTAAACCGGGAACATTTATTTTAATTTAATGGGGACTTTAAGACTGATGGACACTTTACAAAGCAGCCATCAGTGTGTTAATATGGTGTGAAAGGGTGAATGTGACATGCGAGCCACTTTGGTCTAGACTACAAATCTCAATGTCTATCATGTTGAAGACCATGCAATTCTCTACAGACTATAATGCCTTCCTAACAATGAATCCAAATGAATTTGGGTATCCTCTTTATCTAGTGATCACAATCTTAACTTTGTGGTGAAATGGTTAACATTACACCTGCTAAACATCATTATGTTAGCAGTTACATGTGAGCATGTTAGCATGCTGACATTAGAAATAAACTCTGAGCAACACTCAACACTCCAAAAATAATGAAGAGTAAGTGTACAACAGTCTGTGGGATGGATGTGTGGTACAGTTTAAACATTGAACTCAAATAAAGCACAAACTTGATTCTGCTCAAAACATTTTGCAAAGAACATATTTTTAATAGGTTCAGGAAGGGGGAGAGATTGTGATAGCGAGTTAGATATATATATTTATGTATCTTCTCTCCTATTGACACTGGGGTGATATTTGCGTTATAGTTGTTAAAGGTAGATAAAGGTTGGATACAAAGAATTGTAAAAATTCCCCTACTCCTTTTAAAACATGTACAGTTTGTTTTTGTTTTGAATTTAGTAACTGATATTGTTGGTTAGGATTAATTTTTCATATTTTTTATTGCTCTTGTCATTTATTTTTCAATCATCATTGAATCAGTCATGTTCAAATGTAGATATCAATCGATCAATCACCACAGTCATTAAGTTCAGCTTATACGTTCTACTAGCCTTGCTGTAGAAAGTGACTATTAGAAGTTTTTTAACGGGATCTGTCTCTTTGGTTTCAGACTAAATTGGCCCTGCAGAAGCAGCTATCCAAGGCCCTGCCGGCAGGGTTCCTGACCAGCCCTTTCAATCCAGCTGCATTGTGCACCATGGCATCGGGACCATTTGCACTACGACTTCCGCCTGGTCCAACAACCATCATCCAGGGTCCCCTGATCAGTCCCACTCTCTTCAGGCCTGCCCCAGGACCTCTTAGGGCAACACATGCACCTATTATCTTCTCTCCTTACTAGCAATGAGCAAAACTAGGACTTACAGCAGAGTGTATCTTGGCCAATGAAGACAAAGCATCCTGAGGGATGCCAGGACCCACGAAGCGATTGTGAGGGCATGTCAACTTTGGCAGATTCAAGTCATAAGAACTGTATGCACAAATCCATGCGTTTTGATGGAGTTTTCAGCACTAACTGACCGGTGCACTCATCCTTAAAATGGAAGGACCATGGAAGGACCATAGGCTGGTTCCCCCGACAACAAACTGTTGAGTGCATGTTCCTGGGGGTCTGGACTCCTCTGGAAGCCATAATGACAAACATCTCTAAGATTTATTTATTACACAATAACAGACTAATACACTAGGGTATTTAAATGGTAGTAAGTGTTTGTTCCATACAGTCTTTCACTTTGAGAGCTTTTTTAGTTGTTTTCTGGGAGAACAACTAAAAATCTTCATGTCTGCTTAAGTGTCCATCACCAAATCTAAATCAAGAAAATAAAGATTTATCAAATCTCTCATTAAATCATCATCTTTTGAAAAGACAAAGGGATCTTTAATTTTAGATTACTGATGGTATTTAAAATGAACATATTGAGTCCTTGTCTGGTTTTGAAGCCATTATTTATTTATGATAAATACATACAATCCTTATATTTCTGTGACTGTCTCTCCGTGTTAAAAGGTGACAATCAAACTACAACCACTGAGAATACTTTCTACATGTGAACAAACTACATCATGCATATGCATGCATATTAATAGAGAACTTTATTTTCATCATAAGGCCTGAAACTCCTATTTCATTGACATGATAAATTATATAAAGGTTATCAGGCAATGGTAAAAAAAACAAGTTATAATTTTGAAATGTTGTTCATTATATTGAGAGACCCTATTGTGTGATGTTCCAAAATGTATATCAAAAAATTGTTGTTTATTTAACATAATATGTTTTTATAGAGTTGTACGAAAAACTATTATTTCACCTCCCCTAGCACCTGATTGTTCTAAATCATCTCAAGCAATATGTATTTTTTAAGTATGAACTGGTAAAATAAACAACTATTCTAACTGTGCATCGATTGCAATAATGTAATATTTTATGTGCTAAAAATGTAATTACTGTATTCTATATGAACTTATAAAAAGTACTGTTTTTTTTACACAGTGTGGTTGTTTCTTTACACAAATTAAACATTTATCTTTCATAATTATAATTATCATAGGCATACTTCAATAATGGGATTCATTGAAGCACACTCATGCTACTTACTTACCTCAGAATGGCACTTTTTATTTAAAAAAAAGGTTTTTTTAAGTAGTTATCTTTTGCAAAGAAAAATAAAAAGCACCTTTAATGAAGCACCGAATCATGTAATTGTATGTGTGTAGAATCACTGTCCTACTTAGGATTTAAAACCCTCTGAAGTCTGATGTATATTACGTCTTTATAGGCTATTCTATAATGCTTTAGTGCCCTCTAGGGGAATTTTGCAAACAAGGGAAGGATAGGATCATTTTGTAGGGCAGAGTAGCAGATGTCAGTTGTTCCCTTGTGTAAGTCTAACAGACACAACATCATGAATGACTGTTGTCGTCGGGATTTTTTATTAAAGTTGTGTCAGGAAAAAAAAATGCCACCAAAATCTCTTTTTTTTTATTGGTGGATTATTGGAAGAGATTAACTGTAAATAAGACAGAGCATTTTTTTTTCTTTCTTTGTTTTACCGAAAACAAGGTCAGGTTTTGTTTTTTTTTATCACTCGTTATGGACATTATGTGAATGAAAAATCGGCCACAGCATGTCCAACTGTTTATTTTTTAATACTTTTTTGTGTAAAAGTCTGGTAGCAGCGATGATCCGACCATCTAGAAAACATAAAAACACGTGGAGCTGCACGCTGTCAGGTGAGAGTTGAATAGTGAAATACTAAAATGTAAAATAGTGCGCGTATACGTACGATAATGATAATTAGCACTATTTTTTTTTTGCAAGATACATTTTAGAAAGCGTGTGTGTGTGTGTGTGCTTTAAATCTGCGGTGTGCATTAAAACGATAGAATTTGAACTACCGTAAATTTAGAAGAAGAAAAAACAATGATTAGATGTTCTGTTATAAGTCCTGTGTTGCCCCAGTTTTTCATGACCTAAAAAAAAAAAAAGAAAAAACAGCTTTTGATGCCGGATGTGACGTCACTTCGTGTTCGTCCTTTCCAGAAAAAATGGCAGCTGTTGACATCGACGTGCCGGTGGACACAGAACCCCAAATCCGCAATCCGGAGGACCTTGAACGGTAAACACACAAAAGTCCACTGTGTCTCATTGTGCGGTGTGTTTAAACTGTAATGAACCGAAGTTTCGCGGGAGAATTTACCCCGAGTTAGCTGACAAGGCTCGGGAAAACTACAAGGCTATTAGCACGTAGAGAAGCTAACAAGGCTAGCTTGTTATGGGGGGAAACGGCAAAACCCTGTACCACTTTTACTCAATCTTCATTTTTGTTTTTTGTTTTTAATAAATACAAGGCGCTGTTATAACAATAGGTACAGTGGTTAAAAAATAGACAGTAAATATTGTTTATGTCAAATAAGTTCCGCGTCGTGCCCGGCTTACGTTTCTCGAGAAAAGAAACCAGGTGTGTTAGCGGGTCTTAATAAACGCTTAGCTGAATAAAATCGTGTCTTTAAGACTTCCTGAATAACAACGAAATTATGTGGGGAAAATGCTTAACACTTTTTGACGGGAAATCAGTCTCTTAAATGTCAGTAAATAGTTAAGAGTCGTGGTTTTCCACCATCGAGAAGGTTCCATGCGAGGCAGCCTGATAGCAGTAGCTGAACATGCTACTCACACCACGAGATGAAGTTACAGTGATTATATAACTTTACAAACTTCCTGAGACATTTTCCACTTACATAATAAAAAAATAAAAAATGTCGTAACCGGGCGAAGTTGATGTTAAAACGTTGTGTTTAAGTGACATTCGGGGGATATAGTTGAATTCACCTGCCCGGATGGGTCATCCTCATGAACATGACAAATGATTGGTGTCTTGTCTTGCACGTGACCCGTGTTACCTGAGTTGGCAGCGTTTTCTTACAGGGGTTATTTACTCTAAATGTAAATGTGTCATGTTTTGTGTTGCCTGTAAGTAATGCCTGCCAACCTTACACCGTACCCGAGTCACAACATGCTGTATGTGAAAGATGAAGAACATGAATTGGATCAGATTTTAAATCAGATTGTTGAACTGCTGACAACATTTTTTCACAGGCCAATTAAATAATAAAATAAAACTTGCACAACATTTGAATAGAATAAAATATGTAACACCAACACTAATAAAAGTGTTATGTTGGGTTAAAAAAAACACATTTTATTTGGTTAAATTAAGTGTTTAGATTGTGATGAGTAAGTTTTTAAAATAAGTAAAATAACTATATTTCTAAAGGTGTGTGTTCAGACAGTCTGCCTGTGCTGAATGGAGAATTGAGCAGGGTAATAATTAGGGCTGGGAATCGTTGGGTGGCTCACGATTCGATTTCATTTCTTTGGGTCACGATTCGATTTTTCTATTTTCGATTCAAACCGATTCTGGATTCAACGTCTATTATTAAATTAGTAGATACTTCAGGATCTACTACGGTCATCTGAGAGACTGGCTGCATTTCTTGCTGCTCCATTCGGCCTTCTGCTGAGTAGAAGAGCTCGCCTTAGCATTTTTGTGGAAGTTGTGAATCGATTTTTAAATCTCAGAAGATAAAAATCTCGATTTCTACATTCTGAATTTTTTTTCCCTCCTCTAGTAATGATAGTAGTAAAGAAGCTCCTGAAGCCTGGAATAAATAAGGAGCAGTGACAGTGATTAGTTTTTTTTAGGTTGACACTTTGCATGAATCTGAATTGAGAATCCTGAAACTGCATGTCAAAACTGAGCATTAAGAAAGCAAATATATATCTTACTGGAAAAATAATCTATGATGTGTGGAATCTAATCAGTTCCTAGGCCCAACTTTGTTCCAAATTCTGGAAACCATGATTATCCTTTAGGATTTTAAGCGGAAATGAGTAAGCCATCCAGTTTTTCTGACTCATACGCAAGCATCCTGTCCTGAATCAGGTTAGGCTGACTTTGTAAAGTTACATGCTTAGTGTTTACATGTCTTTTAGTGTTTACCTTGTCTACAGTGTGGCGTGTGTAGACAAAAGCAAGTATTTCATAATTATATGACTGTATGAAGGATTTTAGAGGATAGACAGAAATAATCCTTGGGCTTCAGTCTATTCCTTTTTTGGTCATTGAATGTTATTGTGTGAAATGGACAAGTGTAAAAATGTAAAAAAAAAAAAAGTTTATTTCTATAAGTGGACTATTTACACAAATATTTTTGACTCTTGTTTTTCTTCAATGACTGACCAAAATACAAATATTCATTCATACTGACTGCCATGATGTCAATGCGGGTGTGGTGTGGCCTGAATTGCAACATGTTTAAATGCTACAACCAAAAGAGAGCAGTTTCCAAGGAGCTCCTTCCGTTTAAATCAGTGCTAATTTACCCTTTAACACTTGGCGCTTTTGACAGGACTTCAGCAGGTGAATTTCACTGCTATGTTTAGTGCTGGACTGAGTGTCCCCAGAACTGCTGTCCTACTTCCACGTATAACAGAAAGTCCTCACACACTCTGTCCCAGTATACCAGTCTTTTATGCTCCCAAAGTAACTTGAAACTAGAGGTGGGGAAAAAATGGTTTCATGTAAATATCGCGATTCATATCTTCTGAGATTGAAATAGATTCATAACCTCCAAAAATCAACCAGTCAGTCGCTCCCTGCTAAGTGCTTAGGATAGCTCTTTAACTCGGTAGATAGCCAAATGGAGCAGCAAGAAATTCAGCTAGTCTCACAGATGATTGGAGTAGATCCTGAAGTATGTACTAATTCAAGAATAGACTTTGAATCGTGAATCCAGAATCAAAAACAGATTCTCAATTGAATCGTGACCCCAAGACTTGAAATTGAATCATGGGAAAACCAAAGATTCCAGGCCCTACTGGAAACTATTTGTAACAGACATTCTTGCTTGAGTTATCTTTAAAGAAAGCTAGCTTGGGTTACTTAAAGCTTGGACTTTATATTATGTTGGTTGACCGCCTGATCCACCCTGATGTTGTTTTTTGTGTCTCCTTTCCTTAGGCAAGCTGAAGGCTTCAAAGAGCAAGGGAATGCCTTCTACATCCAGAAAGAATACTCCGAGGCTTTCAACTACTATACTAAAGCCATTGGTGAGCCAATGGTTTCCACTAATAACCATTATTACTGAAACTAAGTATTTGTTGACTGGATCCTCAGGCCCCCGCTGACTGATCTTTGCTCATAAAATCATTTGAAGTTCATTATTTTTTATGACTTAATTGTAATGATCACACAATTATCATTCCAGCCAGTTTCTTTTAATTCAGAGATCTCATCTGTAGTGACGGACGCTGCTCCTGCTGAGAGAGTCACGTCTGATTTCACAGATGTACAAAAACGTATCCTATTGAGGCTGACAAACCCTAACAAACTGAAAAAGCAGAATATAGTGAGAAGAAAGTTTCAACCTACTCTTATTGTCCATATATTGTATTAAACCACAAATGGACTGTTTCTATTGAGACACATGTTCATCAACAGAGCGCCACACTCTCTCGCCCGTTAAGAGCCAACGTAGCTCGCCCACCGACGATTATCTCCCTCCCTGTGCTAGAGATGTAAACCAACTTAATCCATACAGGTCGTCAAAGAGAGGGGACTTTATAAACAGAAAAAATAATCACAGTGTTGTGAACATTTGATGTATCGGTCAACACCACCCCTAGAGATTTTGCACTATAAGAGCATTGGCTTTACGTGCGTGCGTCAATGAAAATAGCCTATTAAAAGTCTGTGAGTTAACAAAAGCTGTCTCAGTATGACTTGTCTCGATTTGACTTGTGTGATATGTGTATATTTCTCTAACTCTAGATGCGTGCCCCAAAAATGCCAGTTATTATGGGAACAGGGCAGCCACCCTCATGATGCTCTTCCGCTTCAGAGAGGCCCTAGAAGATTCCCAGCAGGCTGTGCGGCTTGACGACTGCTTCATGAAGGTCAGCTTGATTTAAAAAAAAAAAAAAAAGCATTATTGCTATTATGTGATATGTGCATCACGTATTGTTTCAAAACAGCAGATACACTTTCAGAGCGCAGGGTGATGTGTTGACATGTGAGTTGTTTTTCTACAGGGTCATCTGCGTGAAGGAAAATGCCACCTGTCGTTGGGCAACGCCATGGCAGCAAGCCGGTGCTTTCAGAAGGTTTTGGAGCTTGAGCCCACCAACAGAGAGGCCCTGCAGGAGGTGAGGACAGGAGCATATCCCTTCATTGTATTTACTGTAGAGGATCACAGTAAATTGAATTACATACCAGGCACAGTCTTGGATATAAAAACTGGAACAAACATTTCAAACCCGTCCCCTTGACTTAAGTGTAAAAAGTTGCTGATCGCTGTTTTATGTATTTCAGAATAAGAATGCAACGACTCTACTGGAATTTGAACGCATGGCAGAGTTTGGCTTTGAAAAGCGAGATTTCAGAAAGGTAATAACTCTTCACTCCACCTCTCTCTTTTTTTTAAATGTAAATTATAACTTTTGGATTTTCTATCTGGTCTTTCTATGCCTACATTTGTTATCATTACTGAGAATAAAAGGAGCATCTGTGGCATTGTTTGTATTTGCACCGAACTTAAGCAAATGTATGTGGAAAAATATTAAATATACAGACACGTTTTTCCATGAGTCTTTCATGATTTTATTTTTGTATATTTTCCGATGCTTGATTTGCTCTTGACCTGATCCAGGTGGTGTTCTGTATGGATCGGGCCTTAGGTGTCGCTTCCGCCTGCCATCGCTTCAAAATCCTCAAAGCTGAGTGTCTGGCTCTGCTGGGAAGATATCCAGAGGCACAGTCTGTAGCCAGGTAAGACAAATCGCATTAAGCTATATGACTTGTTTTGTGATATTGACATCATCATTTTATTATCCAATATTTTGAATGTGATTGTCAGATCTAATCTATTTGCGCTGCATTAAAAGGTTTGGACTTGATTGACAGAATCTTTCCAACAGATGTTCTAACAAGACTTTCCTTTACAGCGATATCCTACGACTGGATTCCACAAATGCAGATGCGCTGTACGTTCGAGGCCTGTGTCTCTACTACGAGGACTGCATTGATAAAGCGGTGCAGTTTTTCGTCCAGGCTCTACGAATGGCCCCAGACCATGAAAAGGCCCGGCTAGCCTGCAGGGTAACGTCATACTTTTAAGTATTCTTTAACAATACGTTTCTGTATTGTCTCTTATGTAACAGGGCTTTTGTTCTTTTAAAAGCAAGTTTGTATGACGAATTCTGCCAGGGTGTGTAATCTCCTGTGATGACAGTTATTTCCTCTTTTGTTCACATGTTACCAAAACAAACGCTACGTTTTAAGTTCTAACATCTTTGGTCAAAGGTAGCCAGTCAAGATTTTTCCACCACTTATACAACATGTTATAGCTGTTGTATTCATTATCTTTCAATTATTATTATTATTTTAGGTAGGCCCCCCTCTTTTTTTTGTAACAAGGCACATATAGCCATGATACATGCTGCTGCCTGTTAATTCATTCTAGTCAAGGGGGCGAACTCTGCAATTGTTTGGAAATAAACACAAGGAATTTCTGTCTTCTTAAATCAGAATGCCAAAGCCCTGAAAGCCAAGAAAGATGAGGGCAACCAGGCGTTCAAGAACAACAACTATGAAGCTGCGTACCAACTGTACACGGAGGCCTTGATGATAGACCCCAACAACATCAAGACCAACGCTAAACTCTACTGCAACCGAGCCACAGCAGGAGCAAAGGTACGAAATTAAAAAAAAAAAGCAACAAATGGACTTGTGCTTTGTTGTCATTAATGTTCCTTATTTCACATCTCATTGGATGAAAGCAACCCTGCACAGTGCTCAGGCTCCTGTATCTCACTCTGATTCATTCTCCCTCAGCTGAAGAAACTCAATCAAGCCATAGAAGACTGCAGCAGTGCGATCAAACTAGATGACACTTACATCAAGGCGTACTTAAGAAGAGCTCAATGGTAGGCTTTTCATTCAGCACAATTACATTTATCCTGCTGTTGACCTTTGTGCAGTTTTAAATACTTTTTTTTTTTTTTTTACCCATAGTTACATGAACACAGAGCAGTATGAAGAGGCAGTGCGCGACTATGAAAAAGTTTACCAGACGGAAAAAACTTCAGGTAAGCTGCTTTCCAATCTTTTTTTTTGTTGGCATATTTACCTCATATGCTAGCTAGTCAGGTTTTTCATGTAATTGTCTCTTTCTAGATCACAAACATCTGCTTAAGAACGCACAGCTGGAGCTAAAGAAGAGTAAAAGGAAAGATTACTACAAGGTGCTCGGGGTCGGCAAGAACGCCACTGAGGACGAGATCAAAAAAGCTTATCGCAAACGGGCCCTTATGCACCACCCAGGTAGGTGCTGCCTCTGGTTTAGATATGCAGGACATCGATTTCAGTTCAGTTGAATGAGTCTATATCTCATCTTTGTTATATTTTTGTCCTGCAGATCGCCACAGTGCAGCGACTCCTGAGGTGCAGAAAGAAGAAGAAAAAAAGTTTAAGGAAGTGGGGGAGGCGTTCACTGTGCTCTCTGACCCAAAGAAGAAGGTCAGATATGACAGCGGCCATGACCTGGATGATGACGGCTGCTTTGATGGCAGAGGTGAGTGTTTTTAGTTTATATCTACATCATCTTTTTCTAAAGGGGTGTGTGTCAGCTTGTACCAGCTTTTGTAGTTTTTTTTTAAAAGCACAAGTATGGTGACTGAATCCAATGTGGGATTTAGCACTGGTTCCTGGTCTTATGCTTTGATTTAAACAGAACAGATCCATAGTTGATGTTAAACCTGTGCTTCTCCTGCTGAGAAAAGAATGTTTCTGCTGACATGGAACTTGCCACTAGGGGGCCGAAAAAGTACAAAAGTTGTTTGTAGGTTATAAATGACCACAAAATCTTTTTTTCTAAAATAACCAGATGTTTCCAGGACCACATCTAAGTCACCATTTGATATTGATAGTCATCATTGGAAGGGAGGAGGTGTTTTGCTGAAAGCGTTTAACTTTAAACCTTTAAACTTCAAACCACCAGAGTGTTTTAAACAAATTTGCCTTTTTGTGGTAAGATGTTTAGAGACGCATTTTTCATCCCTAAAATATGTGCTGACTCAGAAGCCACTAAAAATGATGTAAAGTTTATTGACATCAAATGTTGCAAAAAGAGGCTGAGAACTGCAAACAGAACATCCTATCATTCTTCATAACATCTATGAATTTGAAGATTTCTAAATATATTTCTTCATTATCCTCATGAAGTCCTGCATTGAGCATTTTTTTTTTATATTAAGCTCCACACTGAGCTCAAATAGACCTAATAACCATTCCTGTATCTGTAGCTGCGCTATAAGACGTCGCCCTGTTGATCTAGCAATTCATGTTCCTCTCTGCTGTGTGAATAAAGACTGTGTTAATTAACGAGTATGTCAAACTCTCTCTCTTCTGTGTTTAAGTTAGGAAGTGACATCATCTTTTCTTTTGGCTTGACATCACCAGCTAATCCAACAACTTTTTGCTTTTTCTCTCAACCATAGATTTTGACGCAAACAACATCTTCAGGGCTTTCTTCGGTGGCCACGGTGGTGGTGGTGGAGGAGGGTATAATTTTGACTCCAGTCCAGGTTTGTCATTTGCATATTTTTATTTATTTAATATATAAAGCAAAGAACAATCAATCAGAGAAAGTGCAGCGTGTTTAAACTTCTAACTTCTTAAACTTCTTTCTTTTTCAAGACTCCGGACCTGGAAATTTCTTTTTCCAATTTGGCTAAAGCAAAGAAGCGAGCAGGAAAAATGCAGCCCTGCAGAAGAAAAAATCAAGCCAGACCCACAGTCACCTCCTGATGCTCAAACTTTGGAGTGTCTCTCAAAAAAAATCTCCCTTTTTCTCTTTGAAGAGGTTTGTTATTATTGCATTCACTTCCAAATTGACTCCACATTTTGATGCTAACAAAACACTGGGGACATAATTGACTGATGTCGGGTATGCATTAACCTTGTACATACAAAATCTTTTTTTTTTTTTTTAGATTAGATGATCAGAACATGCCCCCTCTTGCCAAAATCTAAAATATTTGACATGAAATCCAATCTTGAAAAAACTCTCAACCTTCAGTGAGGTGATCAGAAGTAAGAAATGTAGGCATCATGGTGTGATTAGTTTTAGAATACTTATGTGGTTTAAGTTCTGAAGGTTCTCCTTGGACCACATGTCTTCATGAGAAAGTCAGTGTACTGTGGATTTCAGTGTCAAATCTGACCTCAGGACAGCCTGCGAGTGTGTGTCTAGGTTTTATTGGCTCACTTGCCAAATATAGATTTGACTTGCAGGGTTTTCTTTTGTTTCTTCACCTTATCTTCATGCTGCATTGTATATTTGACTCGAATGTAAATCGTTTTGTGTCCATAAACTTTCCTTTTTTTTCCGTCTTCCCTCCGTCTATTTATATTTATTGTACTGTATATTCTGAAGAGTAAAAAGCAGGATACCAGTGTTCATATTCCCCCTCTTTTTTTTTGTTTGAAACTAATTTGTCAAATGTTTTCCACATCTTTCTCTTCAGTCAGATTGTGAAACTCCCCCCTGAAACAGGACAAAATTAGCTTTTATTCACCTGCAGATGTTTCTTTTCTTCAAAGCATGGACCACACATCTGTCCTACTTACAAGTTAAAATTCAAGTGGTGCCTTACCAGAATGAGCAGATCAATAAACCCTCTTTGAAAACTGCATAGCAAGCCACATCCTGTTCACAAAAGGCAACAGTTACACTTGTGTGGCATGTTTTTTTTGTTGTTTTTTCATTGGAAAACCTTTGTCATATCTGGCCAGTATGAGCAATTTAAAGTGAATTTTTCATCTCCTGAACGTCAAACACTTGCATTTCTTTCCATGTCATCAATCACACCCAGTCATAATTAACCTATACCTGTCATGCACGTTCTGCCAGTACAGCCCTTCCCCTACCTGTCCCACCTGTTTTAAAGGGGCACTGAGAGTAGGTTGGAAGCTTCTGATGTTGTTTTGTCACTAATCTATGTATCATTTTTAAAACGTGTCACAGTATTAATAAGACATGCTTTTCTTAATGCGAAAAAAATAAAGGCTCGTCTTTTACTGTAGTGGTGGACTTAATTTTATTCATGGATGTATTTGATTTAAAGTTGTTTTTTTACCATTCCATTATTATTTAAGCAAGTTTTATCTTTGTGCTGTTCTTCACTTTGAGAATTTTATATGCATGTGTTGTTCCATTTTGCAAACATCACAAGGATGGTCTTTATCTGGACATTTTCAGAGTAAAAGATAATTTATTACAAGGTTTAACTTGCAAAATACAATACACAGTTCAAGGTCAGATCATAGCTTTGAACTACAAGAAAATGCTGAAATATAACATTTGTTTTATAACCCTTTATAAAACAATTTAAAGCTCCTTAAAAGTTGTCTAATAATCCTTATTGTAATACATTTGCTCTTGACTTGAAAGTACGTTTTGGTTGTGGTATTAAATCAATCTTGTGAGTAGAGTAAGTGTTCTACCAATCTCTTTCCCCTTTAAAGCCACGAAAACCATTTAAGCAAGGGTTACTTGTTTAACACAAATTAATGGAATATTTTGGACAAAATCCTTATTCTTTTTTGCATTTGAGCTTTTCTTAGTGAAGATTCAAAACATTTAAGAATATGCCTTATTCAAGTCATTTTTGACCCATGGATTTGACCTTTTTTTTTTTTTTTTTTAGTTTTCTGTGAAATATTGCAGGTTTTACAAATTTTATAACTTCTAAGTTTTGTTCATTGCTGAAATTTGGCCTGGTGGTTAATAATACATTCTTTTGTATAAAAAACTAAAAAACATTGTATTTATTTTTTTTGGTTTACAGGGACTTTAACTACATAAATAAATAATAAAGTGCATTTAATCCGTTGAAAAGTGTTCCTTAAAAAAATAAATAAAATGAAAGTAACTTGTACAAGGAAGTAAATGGAAGATTAATAAAATCCTGATTTATTGTAGGTGGCTTGTAATAAAACTGTGGGCGTAATTTTATCACCACATGACGACGGTCCAACCAATCAGGCGCCTGCACTGACGTGTAATCGGTCGGCAGATTATGGTGCGACGGGACTGGAGTGAGGTGGCAACTGGCAAGAAGCAGACCCTGGTACAAAAAGAGGTGACTCTCTTTAGCTGTGTCACAGTTTGTTTAACAACAGGTCCTGTACTCCGAAGAAGTGCTCCTTCAATTGACAAGGTAACAAGTTCTGCTTAATTCTTTGTTCAGATATCAACGTTAGCTAGCATTAGTTAGCTATCGGCTGTCAGTGTGAGGCTACAGCAGTTAGCCCTGGCAGGACTTTGCGGATGCTGTGAGGTTGTCTGCATAAAATACTGCAGCCTCTGTCATCCTGGCAGAATAAAATACAAACAACTACTTCCTACACTGTTTCCTTCGGTATTTGGTTTTGATAAAGAGCCCCCAACTGAAGTTATTTTGCAGACTTATCGCTTACTGTAAAGAAAAACAGACTTTCTATGAATCACACGACACAGGCTAACTTAACCTTACATCATCATCATCATTAAACACAGCCTCCCTGCCATCACTTTACAAGGAAGTTGCTTTTTATTGACCCATAAAGAGCCGTACTCAAGTCAAGTTGGTGAACTGCATGGTTGAGTAGGTGTGGCAGCTGGTACAGGGGGTTCATTCATGATGAAGCAACTGGGTAAAGTGATGCTACAGCGGGGTCAGAAGCAGCCCCCCCCCCCTCCCTCCCTATTGCTGGCCCCTTGTGAAGCTGGTGATGCTTCCAAATCCAGCCTCCTTTGACTCCTGAGGCCTGTTTCACGGCTTTTTGGCTTCAAACAATAGATTGTACGCGTGGATTATAACAACAAGCTAAACACATGGGACATCTGCTTCTGAAAGCATGACAGGATAGCCTGCTAAACTAAACCCGAGCAAACTCCCCCAGGTTAGACTTGAGACATCTTGCAGGCCGATTGCTGAATAAAAGCCACCATAAAATGTTATCACTTGCAAGGAGTCATAGTAAATATGATGTGTTATATCAGGTTCATTGCTTATCATTTAGATAAAGGAACTTCTGTTGACTAGCTTTGGCTGCTCAACCCACCGGGCCTTATAAATTAGAGTATTAAACTTTGCACACGGGTTAAAGAAAACATGACCTATAATTGCAATATGGGTGTATGTTAGCTTAGGTTGAGCAACTTTTGAAGTTATGGGGTTGGCTAGAACAGGTCTGACAACATGGGCTGATGCTCTAAACAGGAATGTCAACACCATCCGTGCAATCTTGTGTCACTTGGACACCCTCATTGTTGTGTAAGGTGGCAAGGCTTCATATCAGTAACAAGTAAGTATTTGGAGATTAACATTTTAAGAAGACTCTCGTGTTTATCTTTTGGAGATAATATCTTGTATTTGCAATTGATAAAACTTGTCTGAAACATGTGGTTTGATGGTAAAGTAGCAAAACTAGTATAACATTTTATAGACCTGAATATAATCTATTTACCGTGGTTTAAAACACAAATTTGTACAATATAGAGGCTGAAATGAACTAGTACTTACTGATAAGTTATCCATTCATCATCTCATCATGTAAGCTCAGGCTGAAATTTAGCTAAAAAATACTAACAGGTACGGGTGTAACAACACATCAGTATAGTTGATCAATTGTTGTCAATCTGACTTTGTAAATCATTACTTTGTGACCATGTAATTAATTACTCTTACAGATTGAATAATATTCACATCACATATCCACAAATACGTTTAATCATTACATTTCGTAAAACTGTACGTCTCCACTTCTGCCAGAACTGTATAGTTGCCCATTTTGGTTGAAAGCAGAATTCACCTGGTCTGCAGTTTAATTTGCTTAAAATGCATATATACTCCGTTTTTGTCTGTTTCATTCATCATTATATACGGCTTGTCTCCCTCCCCTGCAGGTCCTGTTCGTCTCAGTGCTGCCATGTCGGCAAAAGCCATCTCCGAGCAGACAGGAAAAGAGTTCTTGTATAAGTACATCTGCACCTCAGCGGCCGTTCAGAATCGCTTCCGCTATGCCAGTGTCTCAGCTGAGACCGACTGGGACTGCCTCACACAGGAGCATCCGTGGCTGCTAACAGAGGTAAATAAATTGCTCAAGACTTGATGCAACAACTCAAGAGATTTCTACCAGTGTCTGTGGGGTTTAGGTTGTGTCCTCAGCTGGCAGTGGATGATTGAAATCATGAGGCTGATTACAAACTGCATGTCAATGAAACTGCGAGTGCGCAATTTGCAGGACATTAATCTGTTTCAGGCACATGCCCATTTATTAAGATGCAATTTATTTAGACTTCTTTAATGTTGGAAAACAACTGAAAGTAGGCACGAGTGATCTCAGAAATGTTACAAGATGTTGATAGAATCATATTTGGACAGCTGTACATCAAATTTACACCAGAGTTAGTTTAGTTGCAAAAGTAGATATCTGAGACAGTTAGATATTCTAAACTTGAATATGGTGAAGAGATGGTTAAGGAGTGGAGTGCTCTAGTGTTTACAATGCAGCTTAAAACCATGATTCGCTCTTCCTTGTTTGAACAATTGTGGTGTGTGTACTTATGTGCTTTGACTAGATAAGGATAAGTGCAAATTTCAAAATGTTTTAAAATGATGAATCCTACGTTGTTTCAAATTTTAGATTTCTCAAAGCCAGTTTAGTGCAGACTCTGAGTCTGTTAACCCTGAAATGAGGGAAAATCTGGGTTTTCTGTTTTAGAAAGGGAGGAAACTTTAGACCCGAGTAAGAGGGGTAACACAAGCCCGTTCCAGAAAGAGAGGTAACTTTAGCCCTGAGTCAGTCACAATGGTGACTCAATCTTTGAACCTTACATTGTCTGGAGCAGTTATTTTTGATAAATCCAGAGTTTCTCTCCGTCCCCTCCCTCTTATAGAGCCAGAAGGGTTGTTTCATTTCCTAATCCATTCATTCAGTTAGCAATCTCCACTAACACGTGGCATAGCGACTCTATAAAATATACTATTTTTTGTACATTTATGTCAGGAGAGGATTTTGAAACACTGTATGTGTTATCATTTCCAGATCTCTACCTATTGAAGCGTTTCCATCTTTTTTCACACTTTACAACGTATATATCTACAGCTGTGTGTTCTTTTTTCTTCTTCTATAAACATATTCAAACTGGTTGTATGAGGGTTTCTAGTTCCAAGAGGAACGAGTACGAGTACCTCTTTTTATAACCTGTTGCCATGGTGAATCAACATGCTGCTCAATGTTGTTGGCTCGTAATAGTCATGGTGCAATCGCCGAACCCCGAGTGAACCCACTCAGACGTTATTGAACAAACTTAAATCAGCTGTTCTGGAACCGGAAACCCAGATTTACCAATCTGAGGGTAAATCAACTTACAGTAGAGTTCAGGGTTAGACTGAGAGGTTGTTGAACCTCCTTTCTGAAACATGCCCAATTTTATGTGTCTACCAGGTTTGGTGGAAAAAAAAAAATGTGTTTAGTATGTCGCTGATCTGTCTTTTTCCTTTTACCCCTGCAGCCTCTGGTGGTAAAGCCAGATCAGCTTATAAAGAGGCGCGGGAAGCTCGGGCTGGTTGGCATCAACCTGCATCTACAGGGTGTCAAAGAGTGGCTCAAAGCCCGCCTCATGAAGGAGACCACTGTGAGTTGAATGTAATCCTTCTGTCTACTGAAAAAGAAGACCAAAAACTGTTTGTCTTTGTCCCCAGCTATGTGAATGGAGTGATCCAACTATGAAAGAAATGTGCTCAACTTTCTCTCTCTGGTCAAACCTCTGTATTGATACAGTCATTACTGATTACTTTGCTTTCTTGTAATTGAGACAAAGTAAAGCCAGTGTTTTTTTTTTTTAAAGGTTTTATTTGTGTATATTAATTTGACAGAGAATAATTTAATTTGCTTTAAATCAGCTTCAGATCATATCAAATATTGTCTCTGGGCTTTTAAAACAATTCTTTATAATCTGTTAAAGATATCTTATTTATTTAAAATGATAGCATAACAGAAACACGTTTTTTTTAAAATCCAGACATAGATTTATGGGACCAATTTTGCCACAATTAAGATAACAAATCAGCACAACAGTCTGGCCCAGATAGTAACTCACATGGCCACCACATTGTGTTGTTGAGGCATCTGAAGAGAGAATAAACTGCACTTTCTTGGTCATTAGTCCCAGCAAATGGACTCTGTTTCTGTAGAAGGTTGTTGTGTCCATTCCCCGAGGCCATGGGCATATGTTTAGACCAGCCAGGTCAGAGGTTATGTAATGCACGTTGGTCTATTCTGGTGCACTATTCAACATGCTGCACTTCCAACAGGCAGTCACCATACTTCTAGCCGTGCAATGAGTTGGTGTTTTTTTTTGTTTTTTTTGTTTGTTGATAGTTTATGAAGTGCTTTACGCTTCTAAAACAACATTTACAAAAATAGAATATTCACTGACTAAAAATCGAAGAAAATCAAGACATAATAAATGACACCAGGGACTCCTCTACTGCTCTGTGCTTTACACCAACGCCCTTTCAAAGTTGTTGGCCAACTGTATTAATTGTTTCTCAAAGTTCTATTGACTTCTGAATTGTAAGACGGTAGACTAACATGTGTTATGTCATCCATTGTTTGTTCTTAACAGGTGGGGAAGGCAAAGGGTGTGCTGAAGAACTTTCTCATTGAGCCTTTTGTTCCTCATACCCAGGTGACATATGTAATTTTCTTCCGAATTATCATTCCACGAGCTGTTTGACTTGTTTGAGAGCCAGGTTATGTTTAATGGTTTAGTATTTAACTATAGATGCAGACCTAAAAAAAAAGTGTCAGAAACCTTTGCAGAGACAGAAAACTATAAGCCTACTCGGCATGGAATAAAACATCCAGGGGAGGCATACAGAAGTTGATATAACCCTTTTCACACATACAGAAATCTCCTGGAAAAACTCTGGAGATTTGGCTACCCGGAGGTGCTTTAGGCTATGTGTGAACGCAAACAGCCGGATTTTTCACGCAGTCTTTACCCAGAGTTTCTCCGGCCAGACCCCTAGTATTATTTTGGATGTTGTCATTCCATTGGATTACACATAGCATTGATATAAAGGGAAATATTCTCATTATAACGTCGTGTAGCGGACTCTGTTGCTTCGGCCACTACTTCCGCATTGTTTATTTCCGTCACGTTTTGCCTCAGGAAATCCTCCGATCCCCCTCCCCTCTGACAGGGAAAGTCCCCCGCTGTGAGGAGCATATATGGTTTGTGTTTAACTCAGTGAGGATGTGATTACTTGGTTGAATGCTTCAGTAAACTAGGCATCTTAAGTGTTGCAGTGGTTGAGAAAACATGAGTGCATGAAGATCGGTTTACTTAAAATAGGGAACTAGGGTTCTTTCGACTGCTTCCAAAACTGCATCTTGGCCTTTTATAAAGAAGTGAGTTTGCACAATATGCTGTTTGCAAACTCAGTATCTGAATAAGTGTATGTGAATCATGTCTTGTCCCTAACTCACTTCTGCTTCACCCAGGAGGAGGAGTTTTATGTGTGCATTTATGCCACCCGTGAGGGCGACCATGTGCTCTTCCACCATGAGGGAGGAGTGGATGTGGGTGACGTGGACGCCAAAGCCCAGAGGCTTTTGGTGGCAGTGGATGAGAAGCTGAGCGAGGACCAAGTTAAAGAGCAGCTCCTCACACAGGTTCCTGATGAGAAGAAAGAGTATGAACACACTCTGTTTTCTATTTATGTTGTATCCACACGGAAACATCTAGAACAAGGACACAAAGTTAGATGAGAGTTACAATACAGTTCAAAACGAATAATCAGAAGTGTTGATGATAGACTGACACTTCTGCAAGTCTAACCAGAAAAGTAACCACATGGTCACACATAGTTGTCATGCCTGTTACTGATAGCAGACACCGGGCTGACATGATTTTCAGTTGATAATGTGGTGAATCAGTGAGGCTTTCTGTCTTCAGTTTAGTTTGTTCAACCTTCAGCAGTGTGTTTTAGTCTGCTCCCAATTATCCAAATACCACTCCCACTGTGGAGAGAACATGCTGATCTCATTTGTACAATATCATTTAGCCTTTTGAGACTAGTTTCCCACAAACTCTGCCCCTGGAATCACAATGCAATCCACTGTAATACATATCATTGCTGTCTTGTTTGTTGCAAAAAGGCAGAACTTTGCATCATCTTTTGGCAACAAAACTTTTAAAGATATTTTTTGGTTTACTTGTATTTATACATTTGGTTCCCCCCAACCCACAGCAGTGCAACAATAAAGGATAAAAACAAAATACAAAACACTCATTTACAGTAGATACACATCCAAGTGTTAGGTTGCATTATAATTACCTTGGTATACCTTTGTTAAATTGTATGTTATATTCTTATATGACTTGTTTTTGTGATCTCCTGTTTGTTCATTTTAATAATTTGTTTGTTTGTTTGTTCTTGTAGAGTCCTGGCAAATTTTATAGTGGGGCTCTTCAACTTATATGAGGACCTTTACTTCACCTATCTTGAGATCAACCCTCTAGGTATGTTATTTTTGATTATGAAATGTCTCAATATTAAATTGAAATGTTCCTTTAAACAAATGTGTGTATGTACCGTGTGTGTGAGCACCCAGTCCCTTTGTATTTAAGTTAAAACAAAAAAAATTGTCCAGTCTGAATCAAACAACCAATCGGGGTTGGCTTGAACATAGTTAGCCAATCCCAACGACTCTGTACAAACTGTTTATTGGTCACATACAAAATTATGTATAGTAGTACAATGTCATTAAATATTTTTTGTACCTGTCCAGCCGAGAGATATACACATTAAACATTAGACATTTAAAATACAAAAAAACAAAAAAAAAAACATGAGTAGAAAAAAAAGTCAAAATTTTAACATGTAAAAATATAAAGATTTACAATAAAAGGGGAAGATCAGTAGAAAGACCCTGTGTTATTTCTCAGTTTGGGAAAATAGAAGGGTTCTTTTTTCTCTGAACAGCTTGATATGCTCATTACTGATTCAAGAAGGTAAATCATTTTGAAGAGGGGTAGAGTATTCATTTATAGGATCAAGGTTTGGACATTATCAGTCAAATTAAACACAGATACATACTCTGAGGTACCATCTAAGAGATTAATAAACAAATGAATTGCTGACGCTAGTGTTTTCTCTCTAAACCAGTTGTAACCAAGGATGGAGTGTACGTCCTTGATATGGCAGCAAAAATTGATGCTACGGCAGATTACATCTGCAAGGCTAAATGGGGAGAAGTGACATTTCCACCACCCTTTGGCAGAGAAGCATATCCAGAGGTGAGGCCTGAAAGACAATGAAATAGTCTTATTTTCGTTTTTGTTTTTGTTTATTCAGATCTATGTCAAGTTGCAGGCTGTTTAAGTGAATGTGTCTTTTAACTTTAATAATCATTTACACCTTTAGCCAAGTTTATGCCTTGATTGACCAAGATGTAATACTTGTTCCTTTGTAGGAGGCATACATAGCTGACCTGGATGCAAAGAGTGGTGCCAGTCTGAAGCTGACTCTGCTGAACCCTCGTGGAAGGATCTGGACCATGGTGGCTGGAGGAGGGGCTTCAGTGGTCTACAGGTAGTTTTATTTATTTATGTCTGTTTTTAACCAGCTTTTATAGCACCAGAATGTTTTCAAAGTGTTCATGCTGGGAAACATTACACTATGATTTAACATGTTTAGTAACTAGAATCAAGACGCAGTACTTGACTGGCCAGCTTCTTCTCTTTTCCTTAGTGACACCATCTGTGACCTTGGCGGCGTGGATGAGCTGGCTAACTATGGCGAGTACTCTGGTGCACCCAGTGAACAGCAGACCTACGACTACGCTAAAACCATCCTCTCTCTCATGACACGGGAGAAACATTCTCAAGGTGCGTAGAGCCAGCACCTCATTTGTAAATCAATTCCTCTCAGTAACTGGGTCAAAAAAGTAGGCCAAAGGTAAAAGAGAGGAGGGTTCGTGAAAAACATTTCTTTGTTTTATATTAATTCAACATGTCTTCATTGCCAAGTCTGCTTAAAGCATTGAACTCCTGGTTGTATCTTTCTTTTGCCATTTAGTTTGTCACAATGCAACCTTTAACTGCTTGAATGTTGACAGCAATAGACGCTGTGCGGTCACCAGATTGTGTTACTGGGGGTGTCGAGTTTCACTCTTCTTAAATCACCTCCTCTGTCTCCTAAAGGGAAAGTGCTGATCATTGGAGGAAGTATTGCCAACTTCACTAATGTAGCAGCAACATTCAAGGTAAACACATTTATTTATTCACTCTAGTTACTATGAAAAGCTCAATACATCCACTCCACATGTTAGCACAGGCCTTCATAGTGTATTCAACACCTTAACACTGACGAGGGAAATGTATTGGATTAATAATTAATAGCTTGTCATTTTACCAGAGAACATTCGAGACCTTTTACATTTGAAGTTAGACTGAGTGTCAAATTTCAGTCCAGTTTAAAGAGAACACAAACAACATCAGTAACTGTTAGAGTACATTTAGATCTTCCTGTAGTTAATCCAGCACCATAACAAGTGAAAAAATATGCAAACTTTTTAAAAAGTAAAACATTACAACAGACAGAGCTCTGTTGGTAAAGCACTCTGTATCAGAAAATACTTACCAACATGCAGAGACATTCATTGGATGTTGGAAATAATGGCTTCATCTTTCTGTGAAAAGATGTTTATTGGTGTCACTGAAAAGACCACAGGTGTTTCCTGTGTCTCTGAACAAATCTTACAAGCTGATATATCTGTCAAGATAAGACTCCACTGTCTTTGAGGCACTTATGTGATCTGTCTATAACCCTTTTCACACATACAGAAATCTCTTGGAAAAACTCCGGAGATTTGGCTACCCAGAGGGACTTTAGGCTATGTGTGAATGAAAACAGCCAAATTTTTTGCGCGGACTTTACCCGGAGTTTCTCCGGTAAAGTCCTCCTGTAAATATGTAGATATTATCCGGAGTGCATATGTGACAAAGGCTTGTGTCTCCCTTCAGGGCATCGTCAGGGCCATCAAAGACTACCAAGGACCCCTGAAGGAGCATGAGGTCACCATCTTTGTTCGCCGTGGAGGGCCTAATTACCAGGAGGGGCTGAGGGTCATGGGGGAAGTAGGTGCGTCAAGGTTTTAAGTTCAGAATGAAGATCCCCGTCAGAAAAGACAGGAATGATATCATGACTGTAGTATGTAATGTTTACTTGTTTCCAAGCTGTTTATTTAATTGGACTACACTTAATTTAAAACAGTGATGATATTGTTGAATGTGTGCATATGATAAGAGGTGCTATAAGAACATGAATGTCTGTTGAATTTGTAGATTTGTTTTAAAATTGTGTGGTTTAAATCCTTTCTTTGTTTCTGCAGGGAAGACCACTGGTATCCCTATCCATGTGTTTGGTACTGAAACCCATATGACGGCTATTGTTGGAATGGCTCTGGGCCACCGTCCAATCCCTAACCAGCCCCCAATGGACGCTCACACAGCCAACTTCCTCCTCAATGCCAGCAACAGTGCAGCGGTACTTACACTCAGTTACACACCAATGTGAAAATAAAGATGCTCTGTAGTTCTTTTGCCTCTCTTTGAAGCACTTTACATATACAGTATGGTGTAGACAGGCACTACATTATCATGTGCAAATTTTCCAGTGAGTTATATTTATAATATGAACTGTCCCTCGAAGCTTATTTTAATGTCTGTTAGAGTTAAGCAACAGGCACATAGCTTGCCAACAGGTTAACACTGGAGTTTGAACAAATATTTGCAGCTTTTGTTCACATGTAGGTGAAGTTGTTACATTAGGAAGATTGACTGTTCCTGTAGTCGGTGTGCTCATTGTCTGCTGGACAGTATTTGAACTTTCAAATGCATCACTTGTCAAGAATCTTTGCTTAGGAAAATATAAACAAAGGCTTTTTCTGCAGCAGTGCAGCTTATCACTTCTTCTGACACATACCCAGCGACCACAGTTTCAGGCTTTAAAAAAAAAAATTGGTGGCTGAGTGTCTTGTTTGCCTTTTATAGGTCATGAAGGGGCATAAGAAAATAAAATCAGTCTGTTTTATAACCAGCTAAAAACCCTACAAAGTAGGTTTAATATTAAATCAGTCCCCATTAGGCAGCTAATTTGATTTGTACTTTCTCTTGGTGTGTTAGTTATCATTGCAGTTCTTATAGATGACAAAATACCTTTTGGAAATACTGTTTTTATCGATAAATGCATACATCTCATAACATGTTTTTTTTAGCTCATTCATGGCATGCATATATTTTAAATAGCAAATAACATGAGTGAAATATTGCTTCTAGCTGGTAGTCTATTCTTTATCTACCTACTCTATTTGGAGCCTTCTCTAAGGCTTTGATTTATGTGCATATATTTGTTTTCCTGCATCAGACTCCAGCTGCAACTAGGACAGCTTCATTCTCTGAACCTAGGACGTCCAATGATTCGACTCCAGCCAAGAAGTGCAAAGGAGGTCTTCCTGCAGGTAACTTAATTTTCCATACTCGCCTCCTCTCTGGTTCTTATCAGCAAGACTCCATATATGCTCATACACCTTTGCTTTTTCATTTTTCTTAACCCTGCGTCCTTTATTTCTCCCTCCCTTCATGCAAATGCAATCGCTGTTTTGCATTTTCATTTTCTTTCCATGTCTTCACCTCCTCTTCCTCCCCCACTTCTTCTTGTTTTGCTGCACAAACTGTCCACTCACCCTCTTCTTGTTCACGCTTGTTTCTCTAAGACTCTCTCCATTCTATACTGTGGCCTCTGAAGAATGTGGTCACAGCTGATTGGAAAGGTAAGTTATAGGTGTGCCATGCACACACTCTGCTCGGCTGCCCACACTTTCAATGCCTCTTTGCCTCTTTTTCTCTCCCCCCCACCACCCTTACCCTCCGGGTAAAAAGGAGTGTAACCATGTTTGATAACTGACAACTTGGTGATTCAGTGGGTACACTTTATTCTTTATATTTTCTTCAGCAATAGGATTTCTGTATTGTTTTAATAGGAAACATCTTCAATGCATTAAAAACTGTACACTGAGAAAAGTTAAGATAAGATAAACCTTTTTAATCCCACAATGGAGACGTTTTAAGCTTTGAATTGAATTGTGTGTTGTTTTATAGGAATAGTTTTGATCATAGAGCTTCTAATGAAATGTTCAGCACAGGTTTTGTTAAATGACAGTAATGCATTGTACGCTGTAATCTTAAACTTGCTTTTCACAGCAGCACAGTGAAGGCATGCTCTGTAGCAGCTGAGCTTTGCATGGGCTTTCCTCTGCTCTGATTTTTTTTGGAGTGATTTATGAGATCAATGCACTGAAGTCTGTTTCATGAATAAGATAAAGATGCACTCATTCTTTTCTCCTTTTCTGTTTGGTTCCTATTTTGTCGTATTTTGTGTTCCCGTTCCCTGGGGGTCACAGAAGCGCAAGCCTCTTCAGGCTGCAGCGGAGGTACGGAAGGGTGTGAAAAACCTGTCTTTCTGCCCTCTCTGCCCTCTGTCCACCTCCTCCTGCCTGTACATGTCTGTCATGTCTGTCTGCTGGTGTTTCTCTAAAGTGTGTCCCACTTTTTGCCTTCAATACCAAATCCGACCTAAAAGCAGTGTATCTGCAGATCTTATGTGATGAAGCAATGAATTCAACTTTGCCCAAAGAAATGGCAATAGAAATTAGTTCAAAACTCTGTGCTACTTTTCAATGTAGTTAAGTTTAAAAATATTTCTCACTGTTGGCTGTGTTGAGGTGTTGTACCCTATCCATTACTCATTAACTCAATACCCATTAACTGACTGGGGCTGCAAATTGTTCACTCTGGAGATTTGTGAATCTTTTTTTGTTAATGTTTATTCGACTTTATCCGACCTCTAGCAAATGTTGGAACAACCAGCTGCAAACGTCTAGCAATAACTATTATCATTGAATCTATCACTTTATTTCCTCCATTCAACGCTTAAATTAATTTTGAATGAAGGAATATATTTATTTTATTCTGAAATATTGTAGGATTTACCTTTCCTTTTTGTTTTCCGTTGTGTTTGTATCATTTGGCGTGAATGATCTCCACACATGTATACAAATGCATTCCCTGTCTGTTTAAAGTTTAAAGGTGAATCCTGCAGTAACCCTTTAAAACCTCACCTGTCATTGTGCAGTCCTCTGTTAAAAAGGCACTGATAGTCCAGGACAGCTGAATGCTCTGTGCACAGCTTTCTTTGGATCAGATCAGAGAAAAACGAAGGCAGTGAGTCTGGACAGAGAGGAGAGATTCAGAAAGATGGGAACAAATGTGTGGCAAGATGGTTGTTTACTTAACTGGAAATTTTTCAAACCACAATATTCATGACAACGTGACATGCTTTATTTAAAACAGAAGCTTTACAGATTGTATGCGTCTATTTTTTTCTTGCACTATTGCTGCTGCCTGTTAATTAGATTACTAGTAGACAGCTGTGTCATCAGCACTCAAGGGTGTCGAAGTCAAGATTGTGAGGTATTCATTTGGTAATAGACAAACAGGACATTTCTTAAAAGGCGTTTAGATACTTCTACAAACACAGTAGAATAGATAGATAGATGGATCTTTAGTGTCATTGCAATTTATACAAACTCTGTAGGAGCAATCCAGCTGCAGCATATACAATGTAAAATATAAAATATTTACACATACACCAGCACACGCACTCCAACACAATCCAAGCACATCTCCCCCATATCCACATACACATTCATACCCTTCATAAAAAAAGCTTCCTGCAAAACCATTTTCATTTAGAGAAGAAGAAGAAGAAGATCACTATTGTCATCTTATTAAATGCATCAAACAGGGATATATTTTGGATTCCTTTGGGATCATTTTGGGATACCAAAGATGAACCTTTTTTAATATTGTGACCTGAGTTGGACACAATCACGGACTCTGTGATTTTAATTCATTTGAGCGACATCAGCAGTAATGTGCTGAAAAAGAAATGTATAGTGCCTGACTTTGAAAAAACAAAACAATAAACAGTGAGTTAAAATGTCTACCATGCAAGCAAACTCAATCAGTGTGGAGTCATGTTTCCATCTTTCCTCTTCAGAGTTTAAAATTGTAGATTTGCTTTGATCAAGTGGAGTTATTTTCTCTTCCTCTTCTATCTTTGCCCTCGAGGTGAGGTCTCTATGTGCTCTGTGTGTAACCATCCCAATGTCCCGCTCTTTTCCTGAGCCTGATCCCAAACTCGCTGGCCTGTCATTTATTTCATTTCTGCTCCCAGCTCTGACTAATCTCTCAATGTTTCTTCTCCTTCCTCCAGCTAAAGCCACCACGCTCTTCAGAAAACACACCAAGGCCATGGTTTGGGGCATGCAGACACGCGCCGTGCAAGGCATGCTGGACTTTGACTACGTTTGCTCCCGAGATGAACCGTCTGTGGCAGCCATGGTCTACCCCTTCACGTGGGTTCATTTCAAATTTGTCTTTACATTTAATACTATATCATCTTACCATCAACAAATATTGAGCTGACTTACTCTTATGAGGAAAAGACTTTTATTTGACATAATTACGTTATCCTGCTCATATACCTTTTAACAGTAGAAATGTCATATCAGTGCTGAGGGATCCCTACATTTTCAAATCAGACTACATGTGTGAACTCTCACTGCTCTCTAAGATAAATAAATATCTCATATGTAAGATTAAACATTTTAACTTTACCGTCTATTCTACATTTCTGTGTTACTCAGTGGGGATCATAAGCAGAAGTTCTACTGGGGCCACAAAGAGATCCTGGTGCCTGTCTATAAGAACATGGCCGACGCCATGAAGAAGCACCCAGAGGTGGACGTCATGATCAGCTTTGCTTCACTGCGCTCAGCCTTCGACAGCACAATGGAGGCCATGCAGTACCCACAGGTAGAGAGACATACTTTAAAGTAATGTTTACTTATAAGCTTGTATATCACAACATTAACATGTGCGTTAAAGGCAGGCGTGGAGTTCAGCTTTCCAATTTGATTGTCTTTTCAGATCGACACTATCGCCATCATAGCAGAGGGGATCCCTGAAGCTCAGACGAGGAAGCTGATCAAGATGGCTGACAAGAAAGGTGTCACTATCATCGGCCCTGCTACGGTATGCAGCCATGTCATATAGACTTTAAAAAGAAGGGTGTTTGTGTTTGGCAGTAAACTGTGGATGAAGTTTGAGTGTAAACAGATGTGTCAAATTATTGATGTATGTAAGCATAAACTTGTGTTTTTCAACTGAACCGATCTGACTCCCATTATTTTCTACCTCCCAGGTCGGTGGCATCAAGCCGGGCTGTTTTAAGATTGGTAACACAGGCGGCATGCTGGACAACATCCTGGCTTCCAAACTGTATCGTCCTGGCAGCGTGGCGTATGTGTCGCGCTCTGGAGGCATGTCCAATGAGCTGAATAACATCATCTCTCGCACCACAGACGGTGTGTATGAAGGGGTGGCCATAGGAGGAGACAGGTACATTAACTTGTTGTCTTTGTTAGTCTTTCGCTTGAATTATGAAATCCTTTTTTTGGAGCATGTTGCATATAGAATTTTGTGTTTTGGTCATCTTTGTCCAGATATCCAGGCTCTACCTTCATGGACCATGTCCTGCGTTACCAGGACACTCCAGGGATTCAGATGATAGTGGTGCTGGGAGAGGTCAGAGTAGTTTCCCTTTAATGGTTTTTTATTTATTTTTTTAAATTTTCAAATTGACATAAATGAAAAAACATTGCATGGACCCTAATGTAGAGCATTTTGTCTATGTTCCATGTATTTCATGTATGTATGGTATTAAATTAATCTCCCCCCTACAACTCTTCTACTCTTGATATCCCAGATTGGAGGCACAGAGGAGTACAAAATCTGCCAAGGCATCAGGGAGGACAGGATAACCAAGCCTGTGGTATGCTGGTGCATTGGAACCTGCGCCACTATGTTCACTTCAGAGGTTTGTTGGCTGTTATTAGAAGACAAAACTTTGAATCTCATTGTACCCTGATAATTCAGGGAGTCCATATTTAAATTCCAACTTGTATAATTCTGCCATCTTCAGGTTCAGTTTGGTCATGCAGGCGCCTGTGCCAACCAGGCTTCAGAAACAGCAGTAGCCAAGAACCAGGCCCTGAGGGATGCTGGAGCTTACGTACCAAAGAGCTTTGATGAGCTGGGAGATGTCATCAAGTAAGTCATTTATCACAAGAACTTAACTGAATTTTATTTGGGTTGTTTTTAGGGTTGTTTATCAATTGATATTGTGTTTCTATTATGAAACAGGACCGTTTATGATGAACTGGTGGCCAATGGTACCATCATCCCAGCCCAGGAGGTGCCTCCCCCCACAGTACCTATGGACTACTCTTGGGCCAGGGTAAGACACTGCACATCACTACTACTTAGTCAACAAAAAAACACATTTCTTACTTTTGTTTCTTAGGCATTGAAAACGTTTATATTGTTTGATCTTGTATTAAGAGTTTTTATGAAGTACCGGTAAGCATAGTATTAAAGATAAAGATAAACTTTATTGATCCCCCGTGGGGGAAATTTGTGCATTACAGCAGCTCAAGAAAACAGGGGACGGGAATATAAAATCAAACATATTTACATCAGTTAAATAAAAAAAAAATACAATAATGGAAAATTACACAGTAACTACACTTGAAAGAGTTATTGTTATTAAATAACACACACACAGTGTGTAGCATTATTTATGAGTCATGAGGTGGTGATGCTGTTAAAGAGTCTGATTAAACAGTCTGATATTAATATGCTTCAGATTGTTAATTCAAAAACCCAGGTATGCACTGAAAAAGAAACACTCAAGTTTCAAAAAAGGGGGTAGTGCCCTCTGCTGGACAACATTTGAAATGACAAAACAGCTCCTATTACTTAAACATATCAGTGGAATCTCTGGACTCCTATATCTTGTTAGCTATCAGCTTACATAAACTCTGGTCTGTACTGTCTGTAACCGGTGTGTTACCTGTAATCTTCCAGGAGTTGGGCCTGATCCGTAAGCCGGCCTCCTTCATGACCAGCATCTGTGACGAGCGGGGCCAGGAGCTCATCTATGCAGGCATGCCCATCACTGAGGTGTTCAAAGAGGAGATGGGTTTAGGGGGAGTGCTGGGCTTGCTGTGGTTCCAACGCAGGTTAGTGGGACAACTGGAGAACTATTTCCTTCCTTCTTTTTTTTTTCCACATACATTAACAGAGGAATAAGCTGTGTGGTTTTTCTGGCAGGTTGCCGCGCTACGCCTGCCAGTTCATTGAGATGTGTCTGATGGTGACAGCTGATCATGGGCCTGCTGTCTCTGGAGCTCACAACACCATTGTCTGTGCTCGAGCGGGCAAGGACCTCATCTCCAGCCTTACCTCTGGCCTGCTCACCATCGTTAGTAATACTCACACACAAACCGTACAATGAGCTGTAACTAGAAAGAGAACATATACTTGGGACACATGGATAAATCCCACTCTTGTTTATGAGACTTTTCTTTTTTATAAATTCCAGGGGGATCGTTTTGGAGGTGCTCTGGATGCAGCTGCTAAACAGTTCAGCAAGGCATTTGACAGCGGCATGCTGCCCATGGAGTTTGTCAACAAAATGAAGAAGGACGGCAAGCTTATAATGGGCATCGGACACAGGGTCAAATCAGTAAGCAACTTTTCCCACTTGGCTATATCTATACCTCTACTTATTCAGAGGTGTTATACAAGAAATGCTATGCTTCTGTCCTAGAATTAAATGAAATACCTGTATTCAAATTGAGAGCTGTAAGTGGTTTCAACTCTCAAAGATGGAAGATAGAACACAGTTTGCTTCTGTTTTCAGATAAACAATCCAGACATGAGGGTGCAGATTCTGAAGGACTTTGTGAAGCGGCATTTCCCCTCCACCCAGCTTCTCGACTACGCCCTAGATGTAGAGAAGATCACCACCTCCAAGGTATGTTTACGCTAAATAGGCTGGACAGCAAATCGTGCTAAGACCAAGGTAAAATCCAATGGTCAGTTGTCTTAACAGTTTACTGTTTTACTGACCATCTCACACCATTTCAGTATCCTCTGTTGTTTCAGGCAGAAGCTGGAAGTGCAAAATGAATAAACTGATGTTTCTGTCTTATTTTTAGAAACCAAACCTTATCCTTAACGTAGACGGTTTTATTGGTGTTGCTTTTGTGGACCTTCTGAGGACGTGTGGTGGCTTCACAAGGTAAGAATATCAAGCTGCCATGTGAAAGAATGGCAAAGTCAATTACATTCACACAGATGGATAGTTTTACATCTCTTGCTTTTCTTAACCTTTTGTTTTAAAATAATTCTAGTAGTCAGACTTTCTATTCCAGGATTGTCCTCACAAAATGTCTAATTGTAAGGTCCAAAACTATTCATAATGTGGTTTAATAGTTATGGTATGTTAGAGGCCTGTCAGGGTAGACTAGTCAGTTTCTTGATCGGGTAGACGGCAAAAATGTTCTACACACTATATACAGTGTGTAGAACATTACATACTATACTTGTATTACACACTATAATGTAGCAGAAATGAAGTTTTTGAAAGTATTAATTAATTTACAGTACTTTTAATAATTACATGAAGCTATGTTTTCATTCTGTATCTGCTTATGGCAACATTTTGTGGTAGTTAAGTGTTGAAAAATGTATAATTCAAAGATGACATGATGTGTGAATTGTCTGTATTGTTGTTTTCTGTGTTGTTGGTACACTGCCTTGCATTGTTTCTCACATGAATGTCAAACTGTGTCCAGAGATGAGGCGGACGAGTTTGTGGAGATCGGAGCGCTAAATGGGATCTTTGTCCTCGGTCGCAGCATGGGCTTCATTGGTGAGCTACATTCAGATGACACAAACGTGATATTTACTTTGTAGAGTGTTAAAACTAGACATCTTATTTGTGTGTGTCTTTCATCAGGACATTACCTGGATCAGAAGAGGCTGAAACAGGGTTTGTACCGCCATCCATGGGACGACATCTCCTACGTGCTGCCCGAACACATGTCCATGTAATCCCCACATCACAGAGCGGACCAGACTTCAAGTGTGTGACAGCGCACATTGGTCAGGCAGCATAAACACATCTCACTAAACTTATAAACAGTATGAACTCTATGGTAACAACAACAGCTGTCTTGGGAAGAATTGGGAAAGGTGTTTCTGGAAAGTGGAAGTACTGTCTGTTTGAGGGATCTGGGAAAGAAGTTTTTGATGTAGTTTTTACGGATTAAAGGGGAAGAATATATTCAGATATTGCTTTGACGAATTATTTAAAGTCTGATTTGTAACTTATTCAGTTTTTAATGAAGAACCAAACCAACTCAAAACTACAGCCGCTACAGAAGCACGAAGTCAATCACTACTTAGACAAGAAAAATTGCACAAACAACCTGTCAAAGGTGGTTGGTACGAGAACAGGAGTTAATAGCTCCTGTGTTAGAGCTTGAATCGTTTCAAAGCTGCTGAAGTAGAATGTGTTTAAGATCAGCAATACAGTAGCCTCTTTTTTTTTTTTTTAATACAATTTACAAAAATTGGGAGAAAAAGGAGATTTATATTCATCAGCATTTGCCCGTTTTACGCCACAAGAAAGCATCCCAAAGAAGGTACAGGCTCTCTGCGTATTGCACCTTAGTTAAAACACTAGATCAGATATTTGTTTTAATTTATGTGTTTATACTCCCACTAAGAAAGATCCTTGTCACCATATAATTAACCAAAGTTATTTCTAGGTTTTTGATGTCTTTTGTTTGACGGGAAAAAATATGGGGTCCAGTGGTTGTATTACAGAGCTTATCTATTTCTTTATACCTTGAAAAGGGGGAACTAAAAATGGAAAGATTGGAATTCATTGGACACACGTGTTCTTCCACAATTGCCTTTCCTAGAACTAGTGGTTTAAAGTCATCAGCTACTTTTCTTTAGCTGTAGTTTGGATGT